TGAAGTTTAGTCGGTCCAATCCACGGAAAATTGTTTGTACTTCAAATGTGTTCATCTTTACGTTGTCTAACAGTTCAATAAACAACACTATTGGATAATGTGAACTGTTACATAGAGAATTGCTAATATTTTTCAATACGCTGATTTTGACAGAAACATGTATAATATACTGGTAACTGTATATCATTTACATTCACTTGGTCTTGTTCGTTTGTATCTTCCCATTGATGTTTAGGACTGCAACTGATCAGTCGCTTATTGACATATGTGCATACTGAACGCATTGCCTCGATATTGCCTTAATCCATCTTTGCTTATAAATCATTTAAACAAGAAAGTTTGTCGACATCAAAGGATAGTCATGTAAACTGTTTTATATTTAATGGATTAATGTGAAAATACCATAAATCTCGTGAATTGAACATTCTTAAATAAGTCTGTTGACTTGTTGATCAATAAATCTTTTAAGAGTTATTCTATATGAACACATTTAAACCTGATTTACGTAGCTGCATAAAAATGAAAAAAGAAACACAACTCATTTATGAAGTGGAAATAAGTTTCTAACTAATAATATTCTTGAAGACTTTATTTATAACTTTGTGTAATTATGCTTCCTTGTTGTGTTTTTTTCCTTGACTTAATTATACCACTGATAGAGTTAATAACAACGGTATTTGTTTTATGACTACTTCCGAATTAGTGTATAACTTGAGCTTATAAACTCCACCATACGCAATGTTTTTTCAAAAACATTGAATTTCCGAAAATACAATAATAGCTACACTAAACATTCCTGGAATTAAACCACTGCAGTTTTGGTTACAAAATCATGTGCTCACTGGCTACTAAAATTCAAAAAAATTCTCGAGAGTCTGCGACTGATTAACTTCGATCGCGTTAGATGCAAAACAACCATTATCATTAGTGTTGAATGATGTATGGAGAAAATCACAAAACGACTAAACGTGAAAAAATTAGCCGTTTGATGTGAGTTTGGTGGTATAAGTTTGTGTGCAAGATTCAGGTCTTAATTTATGGTTATATCATAGGTGAACTACGCTGAATAGTAAAACGGCTACTTGGAGTTTTCTGGCTCTCAATCAGTGCATATTTGACGTTGGGACTTGACAAAAACTACTTCTGCAAGCCCCTTATACTAACAGTAATCAGTATTTAATAAGTAAATATATGATTAAGGAAGGTGATTATAGGCAGATATCTAGTAAAACAGTTGAATCCGATAGTCTCAATGAAACAACAATGACATAATCGATCCAAGTGAATAATTTTCTGAATGGAATGAGAGGAGAGCATACTACTTAAGTAGCCATCCGCATGAGCTAGTTGTTTTTATACTGCACTAAACAGTAAGTTAATGAATTATCAATAGTGACGACTACTTTGTTTCATACATTTTTGAATTTGACTATTGATCAATAAAAATAAAACTTATAAAGTTGACGTATCGTGACATACTTTAGATCTGTTTTGGGTATGACCATAAACTTTTATCTGTTCATCAGTATTATTCTTTCTTCGAGGGTCTGTGTAATTGATATCACTTTCAAGAGAAAACTTATAAAACAGCATATTTGGTTATCATTATTATGATTTACTACAGTCTTAAATACGTGTACATGCTAAATGATTATTTCACTTATCTATCAACATATTTGAAATGAAACGATCAATTACGTAACGTCTGAAGGAAAATATAAATCGGTTTGAATCCTATTATAAATTCTTGTATTCTGATTATCTTTATCTTCGGCCAGTACCATTTTAAGCTATTGAGGAAAATTTCCTTAAGAAATTTCGAATGCTTATTGACTTGCTCAAATTAGATTGTTAAAGAACATTTTCAAAAAGCTTTTGGCTCAGCTATTTGTGACTCATTTATATTTAAAATGCAAAAATCGTTTGGCTACTTTTATTGTGGTTATTTCACTGTTTTCGAAAAAAACGAAATTTGAAATAAGATACTCAAAGAAAATATTCTAGTTAACACTTCATAATGAACATGTTCTTCTCAGTGTACAAATAATACAAGCGCACATAGAAATACATATGCATTACGTAGTGTGTTTCAAGTTAATTCCGCACAGTACTATGGTACTGTATACACATATTCTCCAGTGTCAACTCCCATACTCTTTTCAAAAGCTCTTTTCCACCCGAATAGTCATCAGGCTCCCTTAATTGTTGAATGGATTACAAGTTTTAAAATATGGAGATTCAAATTGTAATAAATTTCAAAATATTACTTAACAGTAAATCAGTTATTGACAGCCAGGTTTATAGAAACATTTATTTTCTGTATCTACTATAGAAACGATCAAACAAATTAGCAATTTGAAACAATCCCCTTTCTTTCATATTTCATATTATAATGTATTTTATGATTAAGAGAAACATGTTTTGATCTAAGTCGATTGTTAAAACAATAAAAAAATGGATTAATTATCTTCTAAGATGTGTTTAACAAGTCATTAATATGATAACATCATATGTACATAACTGTTTTTTCATTAAAAATAATTAGCCAAACAAGATTAAACATTAGATGAGTATAAACGAGGAAATAAGTCTTACTAACTAATTACATAATAATATTGACAATAATAATGATATATAGTAATGCCATATATGTGTTGTCCCAATAAGTAGAATTTTGAATGATTGATATTTTACAACTTAATTTTATAGTCGCTTCCACAGTGTAAATAAGCATATAACCGAAATTAAATTGACAAAAGTTTACATGTTAAGGAATAATATGACAGACTATACAGTTTAATGAAAGTCAGTATTGGTCTGATTATGTTAATGTCGTATTAGTTTTGGTCGAGAAGATTCTGTGTGAGGTATCACAATGAGCACTTGTGTGTATATTGGTAGGCATGAAATGTATGGAATTTGTAGTGTGAAAGAGTAGGGTTGTGGAAAATTAATAAAGTTAGATGTACTCTATTGAATAAACGACAGAAGTTGGTCAGAATCAAATACTTACAATATTGGAATGCCTGTGAGTGAAATCTCAAATCATGCTAAGAAACACCTGAGCTTCACAAAAAGAGCTCCTACTAACCTTGTAGCACTGGTAAATCTACAAATCAAATTGGTAAAAGCAATATATGCTATTTCTAACAAAAATATTAAAATATTTCGGAATAGTGTTGTCTAATTGTAAAAGGAAGTACATGAAGCGTTATATACAACGGTAAATTTCTCTGTCCTCAGTAAGAAAGAAAATTTGACTATCCATCTAACTTCTATCGTTTATTCAATGGACCACATTTAATTCCACTAATTTTCCACATCACCAATACACGGGCGTACAAATTTCAACTCCACTCTTTCACACTACAAATTCCATACATTTCATGCCTACCAATATACACACAAGTGCTCATTGTGATACCTCACACAGAATCTTCTCGACCAAAACTAATACGACATTAACATAATCAGACCAATACTGACTTTCATTAAACTGTATAGTCTGTCATATTATTCCTTAACATGTAAACTTTCGTCAATTTAATTTCGGTTATATGCTTATTTACACTGTGGAAGCGACTATAAAATTAAGTTGTAAAATATCAATCATTCAAAATTCTACTTATTAAAATAACACATGTCTATTATTATCTTATTAATTAACATTCTACTCAATAGTCAGTTTATCTGAAATTTTCAGGCTCAGACGTGATAATAAAATTCATATAATAGTTCGGTAAACACGTATATAATTACTTATTATTCAGTTAAGTAATTTTAATTATATTCAGTAAGAAGTTTCATTTTACAATTCACTAGTCGTTTGGATTAGTTCCGCTTCGAACATATGTATTATGCCTAGATAATGTGATTAATTTACTGCAATTTATCTTTATTTTGGCGTGATTATATGGTTTTCTAAATGCCAATCAGAACATATCATATTTCATTCTATAGTATTTGATTTGTCTTAGCTCTATGAGTTTGTTTATATCTTTCTTATGCAAATATCTATAACACAAATAATGTAATTGACGCTTGATGAATCAAATATGAAAATGTTCTATATTTAACATGTTTTTTAATGAAGTAAAATCTGTAGACAATACTTCCTGTAGTCATTATTCATGAACAAGATTAATTCAATATTAGAAATTGTTCATTGGTGATAATTGTTACAAATAAAGTAAATAATGTATATTTTTGTTATTTTGATGCGAAAGGTAATTTATTTTATTCTTCAAACAACGAATCTTAGATGATTTACTTGAAGATCGAGTTTCAATTTATCAATAAGTTGATCTTTAAGTCATTTATCTATTAATGTAGACCAAAAACAATGACAATCACTACTAAAAGTCGAATCTGTATACGCAAACAAGTAACTTGAGCAAAAACTTAATGATTATTTTGATCAAGTCACTGTACATTAGAAATATTAATTCAGTTTGCTTGATTTTATTAATTTTGATAAACATCTTAATAGTATTCATCTAAAATAGTACTTAAATGTTAAAACTCATTTACTTTCGTAGAAACCAGTATTATTGGTTTGTTAGAATTTAATCTATGCACTAAAATCGATTTTTTTGTGTTTCCATTTGTAAAATATGTTGAATATAGTTAAAATAAAAATAAGTCATGAGATCATTCATCCACTCCTGCATTAGAAAGACATAAGTTAATGGGTTCGATTCCCGAATATAGAAATCCTGATTTCAACCTGTGAAAAAATACACAATTATTTAGCCTTAATACCTTCGACGTATATGTCACATATATTCAAATGTTAAACTGTAGTAATAAATCACTAAATTTAATGAGTTGAGTTTTAATTGGTGATTAAATAATTGTATGTTTAAGTAGCTGGCAGATTTTACAGCTCAAAGTAAGATTTTGGGACCATTAACTAAACAGTCACTGATATTTAACGTCAGTTAGTTTTATTGATGCCTTTTATAATAATTTTTAATAGATCAAGTGAGGTTTATCCAAATATGCATCATTCACACCTCAACTCAGCGATGACCCATGCACATCAAAGGCTTTCACAACAAAACTCAATTCCTGGATACATGAAACACCGTCATCGCAGAGAACAATCTTCTGGATCTATGACATCAACGAGTCGAGATTTTAGTACAAGTCGAGGTATGAACCGCGAGGTTGATTATCCTCAGAAACAGCTCACAAGAAAACCGCGACCAGTAAGCTCACATACCCTTAAAGAAAAACATGCTTCCCAAACTAGAAGACATTCAAATTCACGTCATTATCCATATACTAACTTGCATGATATGAGTGAAGATAAAAGAAAACGAATAACAGATAAAGAACAATTGTATTCTGGTAAAAGATTTTCAGAGATGCAATGCACCAATGATTCATCTGGTTCAACTTCGAATCCAAATAGAAAGGAATTCAACAATCACAGACATTTTCGCCATTTACCAATTAATACAGAGGATGCTTATTTGCATAGATGTGAACAAATGCAAAATGCGTTACAGCATTTAAATCAAAAAAGAGATATGTACAATAATAGACAAATGCAGTCAATGAGCTCAACATATTCTCAACCTAAGAAGTCTAATCTAGATGAAATTGTTGGTCTCGGTATGTTTATAACTAAGTATAAAACATAATGAACATAGTGTTTTTTTGTGACAGCTACTGGTTATTATGTATATACATCACAGAAAAACGTGAAATACGTTCCAACTCCTTTTAAGTTGTCATTTGCCACTTTTGTCAGTAGTTATCTAGCGGACGTCTAGCTATCTAGACAGCTACCTCAAAATCACTGATTTCATAATCACAACCATGTTAAATTTAAACTATTTTGATATTTTAATCATAAACTCTATATACCTATCACCGTCTAGTTGTTACTACTGAGGTATTTTACTTTACATTGATTATAAAATGAGCACTTAAAGTTATTTTCGCTTTAATATTATTCTTCCTTAACGTAAGACGAGCTTACACAATCTAATTTAAGCACTACTATAAAAGCCAACTTTAACAACCTTCAACTAAGTACAAAATATACATAATTTAAAACAATTAACCCCTTTTGATAATGCAATAGAAGGACGAAAGCTATTGCGAATGCATGATGTGGGTCGCACTAACATATACTACATGTCTGATAGACTTCGTCTTTTCACCACATCAACTGAACTCATTTATTATTCCGTGTGTGACTGCCTTGAAATATGGATTAAAAAAACTACTTTAGTGTTATATGTCATACATAATAACAAGAGTACATCTGAAAGCCCGACGATATTCTTTATAAAGACGTGTTGTTGTTTATGTTTACAAATTATTACCATTATTGTTAGTAGTAGTAGTCATAGGAGGAGAAGGAGGAGGAGGACAAGTCGTTGTTGTAGGAGTATTAGGAGTATAGATAGTGAAAGTGTAGTTATTCTTTCGTTAAAAATGAAGAAATGTTTAATATAATGGTAAATAATTTAGTCACTTTTGGATTTTAGATATTTAAAGCTTATTAGCTTTGAAGTATAAACCGTTGTGATTAATTCTACTGAGATAATTGATTTACTTTAATGCTATTGGTTATTGTACTGAAGTGTGAACAAAACAGTCACATATAATGAGCTTTGAGATCTTCTGTCTGTATATTGTAGCTAGCAATGGATTGTGTACGGAAAATGTGCTGAAACAACTTTATGACACTTTGTCATGTATATTCATACGTAACAGTTTAGTTATTGTTCATTATCTAGTAAACTATGAAATGGTTTAATAGATATTGATAAGAAATTCACTAAACATAATGAGAGGCTAAATTTCTCTGCAACCTAAGACATCGTTGTAGTTAATCGTTAATTCTCGTCTCCTTTGTTATGTCGAGGAGGAAATTGATAATTCTGTGAACAGGTTTTGGGTTGAATGAATAGAATTACTGGTCGACAGATGAAAATAAATACAATAGTTTGGTGGAATGATGACTGTTTGCAATACGGGGTTACCATTGAATGAACTGATATCAAAGGCAAAACTACTAGCCAGAGAAATATACTTTCTTTTTTATAAAATAACATCGTTGTATATGAATTACCAAACAAAGAAATAAATATTCATAAAAATCTGGTTGGTGAATGACTTAAAAATACGGATTTCTTAAGTCATGCAATTAAAAGTAAATTAACACCTGACCCCTGACCATCTGACTTTATTCTTGCTTATCATATAAAGTGGTTACATTGTGTAAACTACAGGTACTTTGACAGTTAATTACCAAGATAATTAAATTTTTTTTAAATTAGCAGAAGAAAGATTTTTCTAAGTGTATCCCAAAACAAATGACTATTTTAAAAGTCATTGGTTAAGTCAATACCTTCAGATAATTTAAACAACTATCACCTTGTTTTGTTATGTCATATACAATATACTTCGTATGTTGTTATCCTTTATTTTTGATTTAGCTGCAAATGATTGTCATTTGTTCAATTATCATCCTTATGGATTCAATGGTATGACTGAACCACCTACTGATTGGAACTCAACTAAATCTCAAATGTTTCCGTCATACAACACAAGCACCATCGGGGGTAACAAGCATAATGGACAACACTGTCAGTTTGGATTAAATACACTTGAAAGTTTCCAACAAGGTTGTTTAACTTCTCTAGCCAGTATGTTATTGTGCCCTCATACAATTCTACCCATAATGGTTGGATTGTTTAGTAATTTTGGATCATCTACTGATTATGTACAAAAGTTAGGCGGTGAGTTGATTATCTTAATATCTGTATGTTCATAAGCATTTTGACTGGTTTCACTCAATTTGGTAAACATATTGTTAATAACTAGGAGATAGATTTAAAATTTTTTTATTCATTATTGATGACAGTAGAATGTTTGATTATTTCGAAAACCTTGGCGGTTTTGATAACTGAAGTTTTTATAAATTTTCATAACGTAGGTTATAAACAGTTAAAAGTACATTGGTTAAGCAAAAAGCTGAGTTTATACATTAAGTAAGAGTACAAATTTCTGAGAAATTCTAAATGATGAATAATCAATCATCCATTGCCTCCTATTTTGAGTTAATGGTTCTAAAACTTATGTCAGTATACGATTAAAGAAATTCAACCTCAAACCATACGATGTCCATTATCCATTTATTAAATTAATATTGTAATGGCTGTGTTATGATACGTATACATTCAAAATCTACTCATCTTACTGCTATAACTATTGATGCGTGAATTCTTATTAATATATATGAATAGACCAATTGTTCATATCATATTTAATGTTATGATCAATAAAACCTATCCAGTGTACATCCAAATATTTTTTCTTTTATTAATTTAATGAGTTTATAAGTTAAGTGAATATAATATGCCAGTCGATTTGTCGTCAAAGACAACATAAGTATTCTGGCAAGCATCTTTTAGAATAGTGGATAAAACAACAATTGCAGACTAAATGTTTAGTATGTAACTTCAGTATCAGTCAAAATCATTTATGTTTCTGTCCCATTTTGGAATGCTTAAGATTTATAAGTGAAAAAATGAATCAAATCTTCACCGGATTACACAAGCTAGCGGATATCTGGACTTAGTACCTAAGTGGAAATCGTGATGGCATTTGAAGTGGACAGTAACATGTTCGAGTCCTGGAGTGAACATCAAGTGGGAGATGCAAGTACATCCAACTGACGAATCGCAGGTAGAACGAAACGCGCTTCTTAGATACCACTATTGGTTGCCATACATCTCTGCATATAACTTTTAGGTTGAAATTCTGCACAGAACTGAAAAATAAACTACGTCGTTCATATGTATGTCTAATAACCAGTCTGCTAAGCGATATGTTTTGACTATTTAGATTCAATATTAGTTGAGATCATAAAATATTATCAATTTATATTGTTTTTATGCATGACTATTTATGCATTTTCTGAAGATGAATTCAAATGGAAAAAATTAATTCTGCTTAAATGATTTTATAACTTCAATGATCTATCATATTTTGTTTTAATCTACATAAAATGTGCACCAGGAATAGTCAGGAAAAAAGAATATATAGTAAATACTTGATAAGTCTTTCGGATTGAACGCTATATTCGTCTCCTAAGCTATTCTGTAACCCCCAAGCTAGAACTATACAGCAACCTGAACACGAGAAAGAAAACTCAAAGTAGTTTACTCCAAGGTTCATTTTAATACATAAAATACAGGGTTTTTATAATATTTTAAATGTCCTTGGGTTGCTAGAATATTCTAGAATGCCACTAAACATAGTAGCAGTGTAGCAGTCAAGCCAATCAGAGCCTCTGCATGTGACGTTTTGCTTCCTTGACATTTTTGGCCGAGACTCCAGGTGAACGCTGATTGGATGAAACGCTTCTCAGTGATTATTGATGCTTGCTTGTCTTTTGCAAGCAATTTTTCGGATCACCCCAACAATACTACTAATAAGTAAACTTATTCCTTAGAGAAAAGTAGATTCTTCTCGTAAATTTTATAAAATTGCCAAATTCTGCAAATTGATCATCTGATTTTGAAAGTTTTCTTTTTTCTTTTTCTTTTCATCTTAATTTATATTTCAGAGGAATTAGTTTATTTAAAACAATCAAATCCATATTATTATGATCAAGCACAAATTGGATTTGAATTTTGGCCAGGAATTCTACCACTTATAATTGTTAGTATATTAGGATATATATTAGGCTTATCACTAGGATGGCAATTAGGTTTTGCGGTAGCTGTTACAGCCACATTATTATACGCATTATTTTTTGGTAAGTTTCAAGTTAATGAATATTTTAGTATTTAACCATTACAAATCTACGAAAAATAAAGTTTTTCTGATTAAGTGTATAAGAATCGAATATTGATAAAATAAAACAACGTGATACTGATTGAAGTACAGAATCGACATTATATACATAACATCTGTGTGTAGCAGCAGTCTCTGCATCAGTAGGCCTCAACATACACAAGGGGAAATCCAAGGTCCTCAAATACAACACGGAGAACAGCAATCCAATCACTCTTGATGGCGAAACTCTGGAAGATGTAGAATCCTTCACATACCTGAGAAGCGTCATCGATGAACAAGGAGGATCAGATGGAGACATAAAGGCAAGGATTGTCAGAGCAAGGGCCACATTCCTACAATTGAACAACATATGGAACTCAAAACAACTTTCAACCAATATCAAAGTGAGAATCTTCAATATGAACGTCAAGGCAGTCAGTTCTACTGTACGGAGCTGGAACTTGGAGAACTACAACAACCATCACCAAAAAGGTACAAGTATTTATAAATAGTTGTCTATGCAAGATACTCAACATCCGTTGGCCGGATACAATCAGCAACAGCCTTTCTTGAGAGAGATCAAACCAGCTTCCAACTGAAGAGGAAATTATGAAAAGACGATGGAAATGGATAGGACATACACTACGCAAATCATCAAACTGCATCACGGGACAAGCCCTAACTAGGAATCCTGAAGGAAGGCGGAAAGGAGGAAGGCCAAATAACACATTACGTCGGGAAATAGAAGCAGATGTGAAAAGGATGAATAGCCACTGGAAGGAGCTGGAAAGGATTGCCCAGGACAGGGTTGGATGGCGAATGCTGGTGAGCGGCCTATGTTCCTTCACGAGGAGTAACAGGCGTAAGTAAGTAAGTAGGTACATAACATCTGTAGTGTACTCAAGAACTGATATGAAAGATATTTTAAAATGTTGCTTTTATTATTAAATTATAAAATATTATCTTGGCAAAATAAACAATTTGTGTAATGAAAAAATATTCAATTTAATGATTATAAAAATATAAGAATAATTTTCAATAAGATATGTGAGACATACAAGTAGTTGTTAAACGTCTTTGATGTGTTTGTAATTTGTACGAGTTTTACTTAGAATGCATTGTAAGGTATTCATATGATGATTGGTTCCATCTATTATATACAGTTTAATAGTTTTATAATATAAGGATTATGATTAAGTTATGAATTAGACAGAAATTTTCTTCAATAATACTAGACGATAGTTAATGATAGTTGATGAGTCTCACAATAGGACGAAATGGCCGTCCAGTGCTCCCAGGTTTTCCATGGTGGCCTAGCTTCAACTGACTCATGATCTTAACCATTGAAATTACTGTAATATCCACAAAACCCATCTGATATTGAAAAAAATCGTTTAGATTTTAACAGTCTTTATCCCAACATTGTAACTTGTAATTTATTTTAAGTGATGTCTTTTATCCATAAATAATAAGGTTCGCACATAATAATGAAAAAGCAACTCTAATTGCAATTAAATACCTAAGTTTGAACAGCTGATTTTATTCTTGTAAAAACACTGATCTTTACAAAATGTACACGTATTCAACTGGAGAAATTATTTTTTGAATAGATAATCTGCTTTAAAGATATAACACTGTACCATGCACGAAAAAGGACAAAATATATGAAGGAAAATTATCCTCTATAATTAAATAAGGAAATGTTAATATCATGTAATGTACTTTTGATATAATTCTTGAACGTGTCACAAATTTTCTGAACTAAAATTAATTGATGTTGATAAGTGACGAGACTGTAATTTATGGACGAGTCAATCATAAGCGTTTGAGAGATTTCGAGGTCACGAAGCCAATTCCAGTACCTGATGCTCACGTACGATCGGTTTATATAGGACTTTAGAGAGAACATTATAAGTGAGTGGCTACAACAAATAGGACTACTACGAAGTTCTGTGGTGTGTATGCTGCTGATGTTGACAGATATATCATCAGTAGAAAGTGAAATGCCTAGTGTCAGAAGGTTAAGAAGATTGAAGAAAAGAGAACGAAAACAGAATTATTGGTATGAAAACGAAGGAACAATGAAGTCTGAGACGATTGATTGACACTTTACAAATGAATTTTTTAGTGTATGGTTCTCAAAATTTATGAAGAGATTCTGTAATTTTGTGTTTAAATACATCCGATTGTTCCCACTTGTGTTCTCGTTTACTACAGTTCCATTATTTGTGACTGTGGTTCTCAAATGAGTTGTGGACTACCGTGATGATGTCTTTCGACGTAATATATGTTGGAGGAAGAAGTCTGCTACAAGAGGAACCTTGTTCGCTAGATCTAGATTGAAACTAAGGCAAATTATGATAATTGTTGCGAACTGGATAATAAAAGCACTTGTAATAGTGACTGCAACATTTACAGATGTTACTGAAGCTTCGACTGTTTACTGTTATGAGTATCGTACAGATATATGCGCAGTAAAAATGACAAGCTTACATGAGTCGCTTGGGAGAGTCGGGAGTAAAACAGTCGTCAAAAGACAAAAATTCAAAAGACGACGTAGTGTTAAGGAAGGCTGAGAAAGTAGTACTTCCATAAATGTACCTCCTTGGAATATACAACAGCTTATCTCAAAAAAGACACTTCTCACGGATTAGAAACCTTTAGGCTACAACGATAATACCAATTATACAGGGATATGTTCAGCCGGGTACTACAGTATATACGGGTGACTAGGGCGTGTATCGATGCCTACATTAATTTGATTAAGTGCATCGTGTCGTGGTCCACAAGTGGCATTTTGTGGATCCAACAACCAGAGTACACATAAACAATATTGAAGCTGTATGGTCGAGGCTGAACGAGTTTTTTCCATCTTATCATGTCTCCATAAGTCAACTATCACGGAGTCATATGGATGTGTTCCTCTATCGTATGCATTAAGATTTTAGAATCTCTGAACCTTTTTCTAACCTTGAAAACTTTTAAACCATTTAAAAGAAGTGTATCCACTCTAATTCATTGGTTTTGTATAATATATTTTTACTCTATACTCTATCTTCTCACGGTCGTCCATAAATTATAGTCTTCCCATAACCTTTTGCGTTTCTTAGTAAATTCAATCAAACATATTTAAACCGTTCAAAAAGCTTATAAGTAAACGTTTTTGACACTATAAAAAATATAGTTGTCTACGTTTCAAATACAGAGTTGTATGGAAAACAGTTTGTTACATTTATTATTTTTATTGTGTTTGTAGATTTTTTTCCGTCAGATTTTACACTTATCTGTCAAATAATCCCTTGGTACTAATTGTCATACAAAGAAACGTTACAATGGAAAATATTTATATACCAGTTACTCAGAAAGTTTTAGTTAGACTTCATTGTCTTAATTTCAATTAACGTTTTTATTTATAAAAATGATAAATACTATAGTTTCAGCTTACTTGTCAATAGTTTTTCAATACTTTACTCAATTAAGTACTCTAATTTGTAATTAATATGCTAAAATTTGACAGAAAAATAGCTAGATATAATTTTGCCTCTTGTTCACATAATGAGGTTGTTGGACAAAGTCGCCTTTAATTTTTTTGAGTTAAAATGTTAGTGACTAACTTTATGAAACGAATGGATCCCGTTTAATTGCTTCTGGCATTCATAGCATCCAATAGTATACAATATTATCTTTTTGTATCCACATTTTGCAATGTTGAATTCATATATTTCACTGGATTGTGTTTGTGGGTTTAACAGATTATAAAATTTCAAAAAAATAGAATTTTACGTTCGTATAAAATGAGAGTCGTAATTAGTTACAGCTGAACTTTTGATGGGATAATTTTACTTGCTTACTAACGCCTGTTACTCTCAATGAAGCATAGGCCATCGACCAGCATTCTCAAACCCACTCTGTCCTGATCATATCTTTCTAGTTCTATCCTATTTCTGTTCATTCTTTCCATGTCTATTTCCATTTCTCGAAGTAATATGTTCTCTGGTCTTCCTCTCCTACCTTGGCCTTGAGGATTACATGTGAGAGCTTGTCTTGTGATATCCTCAATGTGTGTCCTGTCCACTTCTAGCGCTCCTTCCTCATTTCTTCCTCCACTACAATCTGGTGTGTTCTCACCCATATTGGGTTATTGCTGGTAGTATCTGACCAACGGATCCGAAAAATTTTGCGTAGACAACTGTGAATAAACACTTGTATCTTCTGAATGATGGCTTTCGTAGTTTTTCAAGTTTCCGCCCCATACAGTATAACTGTTTTGACATTTGTATTGAACGTTCTGACCTTTGTGTTGGTTGACAGTTGTTTTGAGTTCCAGATGTTCTTTAATTATCGATATGTCACTCTTGCTTTGTCGATTCTCACCTTCACATCTGCATCAGATTCACCGTGTTCATCAATGATTCTGCTCATATATGTAAAGGTTTTACATCCTCCAATAGGATAATCTACTTCTCACCAATAAAATCTACTTTTAATCAGAATATTTTTGATATATCAAATAGATTCATTTACTTATCTATCCATTTCACATCTATGAACACTATATCAACAAAAAATATTTAACAACCTCTTGAATCACATATCACAGAAATGACTATTCGAATTTGTATTGTTTTTCTCTCTTTCATTTATTGTACAATGAATGGTTTACACATATCTAGTTGCACATATTTTTAAAGTTGATACTTCAACGAATAAGAAATATTCGACGTTATTTAGCCTTCATACTATGTATGATTAAATTAACCTCTGAATTCAATATAACCATTGCAAGATAAATATAATGCATAGAAGCTTTTTTTCATTAGAAAACACATAAATGTAAAGCAAATTCTATTGGGATATTGCAAATATACTAGTTCCACTAAATACCACTTTAATTATGTTCCATATCAGAAATAAATTTATTGATTGACTTTTCTACCCAATGTATACACATTTATCAGAGTGCATAATACAAATGATGTTACTACACCTGAGATAAAATATTCATAAAATTGTAGAATACCGAATAGCTACAAAGTGACTAATAAAAATTATTGTTTTAAATAAGTAACATAGTATACATCGAATTATTATTATTAAATGAAGGTTGAATTCCTTTTGTATTATTGCACTTGTATATTGAAAAATATATAGATATTTTAAGATTTCCTTGTAAAAACTAACTATTTAGACATTACCATTGTTGGATGCGGACCAGAGGTTAAACGTTTGCGTGGGGAGCCGAAGGCGCTGGATTTGAATCCCGCAAGCGGGGTCATGAATGCGCACTGCTGAGAAGTCCCACAATATAAAAAAGCCGCCGTCCGATGATTCCAGGTTTTTAACGGTGGTCTAACATCAATCGATTCATGATCTCAATCAAAAACTTAATAATCTCCACAACCCTATACTGATAAAGCCCTATAATTGTGTAGTGACTAAACACTAAGGTGTGAAAGACTAATCTTTTTGTTTAATGCACAGTCACACGGTGGTTTAGTAAAATTTATAAATAATACATCAAATGCATTATTTGCACATCTTCGAGTTGTCTCTTATAAGCTTCGTGGATCCTTCATTCCTATTGTTACTTTGATTACTTTCAGTTTCCTTTTCTTCATTTCAATCTTCTCAACCTTTTGCTCTATGACATTCCACTTTCGACTAGTGTTACATACCTCATATATCTGCAATTATAAGTAGTATACATTACAGCTGTACAAACAATCAGTCACGCTGAATGATTTTTTTTTGTTTAAAAAAGGTGTCTGCAGTTCCATTGATAATAATTAACACGGTAATCAAAATAGGAATCTTTCAGAAATATCAGTATTTAAACAGATGAAAATATATGCCTGATTGATTTTAATTTATCCAGTTGAAGTCGTGCTATGGTATCAAGGTTTTGGAAATATTTATCTACTTTGACTAATCTGTATAAAAAGTGAAAAACCTAATTAAGCTCTAGTTTCACTTGAATTCGATTACAAGTTCTGATTTCCTACATGTATTTCTTAAAAACAGAATTGAATCATGAATATTAAAACATTTCGAAGTAATAGCGAAAATTCCCATTTTGACATTTGGTAAATAAAGAACGAACGAATCGAGAGAAGAAATTACTTTTCAGTCAATTTTTCATCATGACTCCACACTAATATATATATATATATATATATATATATATATATATATATATATATATATATATATATGATTTACAATAATGAGATAATAATCATCGAATATATACGTTATGTAATAATTACATAATGACATTTCGATTATAAATTAACATTGAGTAATTGGAAGAAAGAGGATTATTAATAATCAAAGTAATTATTCAAAAATCAAGAAGTTGCTACGTTGCATAATATATGAAAAAGAGAAGGAACAGAATATTTTGATGAATGGCCATTAGAATAGTTGTTATGTAAGAATCAAGAGATGAATGTTGAGGATAAGTAAAATACAAAGTTCCAAAAACAAAATGGAAGAAGTACGAAGTTATCAATGTTTTGCTACAAACGCCCCTATACCAATGGCCAAGGTAGCGAAAGTGGTTTTACAAACTTCTTCTGGATGCAAAGGTTACGTTTGTGAACATGGATTGCGATGGCATCAGCAATGTGCAAAAGACGCACTCGTAAGCCATATTGCGAATATGATGGAATATGGTAGATAAACTTAAAACCTTTATTCAGCTCAACTTGATGACCAGTGCCAACCAAGTGAGCGAGAATAGAACTCTTAATCACTCTTACCTGTCCTTTGCTCAACCACGACGGATGGTGCTGTGTTATACGATGACGAACTTACCGAATTATACGCTCTACATAACTGGCTCCACAGGAGCAAGTGAATCGACAAATACACATGGATTTGGCGAATTCAGGCAGTTGGTCTTTATTGTCCGTCCTTATTGTGGGGTGGTTATAGAAGATAGCACTTAGTCTGGCTGCATTAAGCGTTTTTTGTGTCGCTTTTCTTAGCCTCTGAGTCACAATTTCTTCAATAGTGTCATTTAAAATTTGTAATTTTAAGATCAATACTTTCTCAGGAACGGTAGCTATCTTTGTCCTTCTTTACATCTTCTTCATGTGTTTGTCGTAGATTTCATTAGGTACCCATTCGTACTAAGTTACGAATATTAACCAATTCATCTATAATAGTATCATCTGAACAAATCATTATAGCACGATGAGTCAGGATCTTTATCAAGTTCCTTTTGTATATGATTGATGTAGTACTACGTAACTACTATTCTACTGACCATTCATCAAAATATTCTGTTCCTTCTCTTTTTCATATATTATGCAACGTAGCAACTTCTTGATTTTTGAATAATTATTTTGATTATTAATAATCCTCTTTCTTCCAATTACTCAATGTTAATTTATAATCGAAATGCCATTATGTAATTCTTACGTAACGTATTCACTCGATGAGTACTATTTCATTATTGTAAATCATATATATATATATATATATATATATATATATATATATATATATATATATATATATATATATATATATAATTTTAATTTATAATAGTTTATGGAGAACGGTTACTTCAATCATGTATAAGTATATCATCAGACTGGTTTTGAATATCTTCAGTTAAATAAAGTACGTTATCTGAAATATCCTTTAAAACAAACCAATATCATTATGTTTATTAGGTGTTCCAAGAATAATAATTCAAAGCATTTTGATTCATTCTATACAATTTAGTTTAGATTAAATTTGAGATTACAATTTAGGATTTCTGAGATTTAGACATACAATAAACGTAATAACATAATAGAAGTAATTCAATGAGGCATTTATTATTAATTTGGCTTTATTCAATATTATATTTTCGGTACAATATAAAATTCTCAGCAAAAATTATTTCAAAAGGTTTAATTTTCTTATTTCTTTATCGATCGTCGCGGTAAATATTGAGTGGTTGCCAGTTAAATGTTAGCAGTTCAGGAATCATCATCTGAATAATGTATATTCTTTTCGATGAATATCGCCAGCAACCACGATGTCTTTTGTAACTTGTACAGCGAAATGTCGTAAACGTCTCACAAACGCATCTGAATAGGTTATGAGACTAATAGGCATAATGCTGTTTTAAAACAAACAAACAAAACGTTGACTTGTTGAATTATCCGGATTGCGGGAATGGGTAGCCCAGATATTCAAGCTATTTGAACGTGACAGGTGTAATAAATTAATCAAACAATAGATTTGGAATTCTATACAGAGTGATTAAGTTTTATTTTCTGGTTCACCAGAATAACTTTATACATTTATACTGATATCTACAAGTATCATAGTTGGACACCATCACTAGTTATTTTGTATATTATTGTTGTCATATTTTCACTGAAATCGGCATTGTCATCATTCGATACTGTTAAATTCAGTTTAATGTCATCTTTTATAATTATAACGAACTGATAATCAATGACTGTTTTATCTTCATTTTAGCGTCTTCCCTTACATAATAGATGGTGCCTAGAACCTTCGTTTTCATTTGATTATTAATCAACTGTTTTCTTACAGAAATGAATTATGCTTTGAAACTGATTTTTACACTAAAAAAAGATATTGGACTTTGTATTAATAAACGCATGCCGAAGTAAAATTTCTAATTCAAATTACTCGACTTTAATTCAGCTAGACAACCATGGAAAACCTGAAAGTACTGGACGAACGCTTCGTCCTATTGTGGGATCCTCATCAACCTCAATTGACTCACTATCTCAATTATTGAAATTACCACAATCTCCACAAAACCCCTTGTGACACGAATCCATATTATTCTGCACCAATCTTTTTTCTTGCTGTCCTTAAGATAATAAACTGAACTATGTGTATGAAATAACTCAGTAGTGTAGAATATTATATATTTTTGAACACTTTCAAGTAAATAAGAAAAAAATAAGAAAACTTACTTCTGATTGACAGTAAGAAAGTTTAACTTTCGAATATAGATTAAAGATAATAAACTCACTTGTGTTTTTTTAATGAAATTTTATCTTTTATGTACTACTGTTTACTGTATTGTATGTAATTGGTCCATCTATGAATGTTTGAAACAAAGTCTAGTGATAAGTTTAACAGTTAGTTATATATTGAATTCCCTGATATTGAATGTTTTTCATCAATAATAATGTATGTCAAGTACTTTTAACAAGACATACAGTCTGTTGCATCGCATCTACAAATGAGTTAACATTTAGATTTAAAGTATAGTAAAAGGATTATCAAGCATTTAACAAATGATGGTCAAATTTGAATGAAAAAGATGAGACCTTTGTATATTTGTAAAAATGTGTAATAAGTAGAACTGATGCAATTATGTTTAATAAGCCTAACAAAGCTTCAAATGTAATCGCGACCGAGTCCAGATAGCCATTAGCTTGTGAAATGGGGTAAAGTTTAAATTCGTTTTTGTATTGTTCGTTCGAATAGGGGACTGATCAACTGCAGTCCTGTACTTTAATCGAAAGATTCAAACGACCAATAAAAAAATATTCGTTCATATTTTACAACTATTAATATATTCACTGCGGTATTTACATTCATGTTAATCCATTTCAATATAGACTTTGAACAACTATCTACTATCTTCACTATTTAGGTGTAATTATATTTGGAGTTCGTATTAAACACTGGTCGAAAACTATTGAATTAGCTGAAACAATATCTCGTTATATGAGAGGGTGTAATTTATTATTTAATATACTATTTTATCGTTCTCCACAAGCTCCTCGTGTTGCTCAACCTGTACGGTAAGTTAGTTGATTGTTAATTTTGACGAAATTCTAGCAGAATGACTTTTAAAGCCTTTACATTTTACAAAAAGAATCGAAATATATGCTTATGTGCTATATACATAGAATATTTGTAGTTTGTAACCGGTTTGAAAATAAATAGTACACAATTATCCAATGTATCCCTTATAGTACATACTTAAAAGAGAAAATGGTTTGAAAATTGCTAACAGAATTCCAAGAATTATAATATTTAATAAATTTCTAATTGATATGATGGAAAGAAAAATCAATTTTCGATTGAATTACTCATTATGAGTTTTATTCAATATAACATCCATTTTGATTCAACATTAGAATCATTCAATGTAGTATTTGATTGTTTTTCCAGTATAATAATTTCTTCTGTATAATATACGATATTCTTGCATTCACTTGACATAAACTATGCTCAGTAAGTGATTTATTATAACTGAGTATGTGATCTAAACCTAATTATAAATCAAAATGGGTGTACAATCAATATGTAAACCAGTGTGTTTTAGACTATTGTGATTCATTATTATTATCATCATTCATTCGTCGTCGTCATAGTGTTTGGGGTTAATAAGTCTTCACTTATACCAGTCCTTGTGTTCTTACTTTCGCATCGTGGGAATCGCAGAGGTCCCTCGTTCCGAGTATAAGTGATCAGAAATATATGATAATTCAGATTATTCAGTGAAACCTTGAGTCAGAATGAAAGAAGTAGTGTGAAACATCTAACAAGTATAATTTGAATCTTATTTTATTCAAATAACTTATTTCCCCGAAGTCATTATTATCATAATATTTATTTAGGGTAACAGATGACTGTTTTAATGTCATTATATTCTCGAGAATTTTAATTTTATCCGAAAAAGTCGAATAACAAGGCTTTACTAATTTATGTTGCTTTCTAAACATTATCATATTTCTTATGTTTAGGTGGATAATTTGATGTTTTAACACATTTCTTCAATAAAATTCATTAGTTTTATGAGATATTCTGATGTTACAATTAAATTCCGATAAGATCAAATGTGATCTAAAGCTTAAATTCTTGTACCATTATTGTCTTCAATCTTAAGTTACGTCAATTTTATCTGAATACCTTCAGTTATGATACCAATCTATCTACAAGTTTATTTTTTATGTGCATCTATTCCTGACAGTGTTTTATATAATTCCATTTCAGTACTATATTAATCAAAAATCTCTTATTTTTTCTAGATTTCTGTGAATTGTTCCCAGAATTTTGCTTTGATAACCTAATTAATATTTATGTAATTATTCTCAGTTTCTATTGAGCATTGACTATCTGTTACCTGGCTAAACTTCTAAGTGGTATTTAATTTTTTCATTACTGAACATGTCTATAATCTTTCACTTTTCAGTTTAACGTTTATGTGTGACAACACATTTCCGGGAGTTTAACATCAATGCGTCAATTGTTTCTTGATATTATTTCACTGTTGTTTCTCACAAGCAACATTTTCTAATAGTTTTCTTTCTTATCTTCTAAACTGAAAACTGTCATATCGTAAGCAATAGACAGACATCAAAGTATGTAAAACATAGTGAGCAAGTATACTCAGAAAACTTAGGTTTAGTTCTGTAGTTTAACAGAAGCGTTCAATCCTTTATTCTGCTATCCTGGTTGAATATTTATGAGAAATATGGTTAGTAAATATAACTGTCATATTCGCTATGGGTTATGAAACAAGCGAAACCTGTGTGTTTTGCTAAACTTTTATATAATAAAAAAATTAAAACTCTCTTAAAAATATTTACCGTTATTTGGTGAGTTTTTCGAATATGATAATAACCAAGTAAACAGCTAGTAGCGTTATTTAAACAAAGTAATAACATTATTATTAAGCTAAAATTAACTCAGTCTACTCTAAAACCTTACATCAGTGGCAAACAGAATAAAATTACAATAAATGTTTAGTATAATTTAACTAGCAAAGTTTAGATAGATGCTCAAAATTACACGGCAATCATAAGAGAGGGGAGAAAATCCTAAATCTTATATTAAACTAAGCAACTAGGGCTTTTCAGTGTATATATGTCGAACAACATCACAAAATATGTAGTCAAGTTATAATCAATAACAAACTTCATAAAAATGGAGAGGATAACACAATCATGATGAAAGTAAAGATTGGTTTTCTAGCTAGTCGATAAAATTAGGATTAATATAAATTTAGTGGATGAATATCGATGGATAGTTGAAAAAGATCATCCAATCGAGAAATTCACTCGATTACTATTATCTGAGTAATAACAGACGTTTATCAAGCTTTCCACCATACATAAGGTCGGAAATATATAATAGAGATCGCTTCTCTAAAATGAAGTAAATTATCGATTGTCATGTGTTATTTTGAATACTTTGGAAATATTTATATGATCCTTTCTATTTAATACCGTTAGGTCCTGGGTTCGAACCCCGCGAGAGGCGGGATCGTGGATGCGCACTGCCGAGGAGTCCCACACTGGGACGAAACGGCTGTCCAGTGCTTACAGGTTCTCCATGGTGGTCTAGCTTTAATTGAATCATGATTTCAACTATTTAAATTTCTAAAATCTCCACAAAACCCCTTCTGATAATATGGTATACGTTTTACGAGCGTATCTTAAAAACGTATAGCCAACTCTTTCACTTATACCTTCCTACATACGCGTCCACAAGTATATGTAAATTTATAAATGCAACTGGAGGTAACCTTGGAGAGATAGCGATTGGTTTTTAGAGTGGATTAATGAGTAACTGGTGTTATGAAACAGGCTGAGTTGGAATAAGGGTCGTTTTTAATCCCTTCCTCACTCAAGTTTAAATAATAAAGGTACCTCATTCAATGAGATTTAAGTGATGCACGATCTTCACTAATGGGAAGATCCTTACTCATTTTAACGTTAATTCTTGTATTATTTGCCCTTGAAATTTCCCATCATTTGACTGTAAGTTGGTTGAAGAAAGTTTTTCACTATGATTGGTTAATGGTGATATTTAGGATGCTTTCTCCATTATTTTATAATAATATTCCTCCATTACTCATTTTCTACAGAATTTTTCCAATGATACTAAAATTTCTTATACTAACCACCTCTTACCAATAGCTATTTCTCTTCATACATTTCTTTGTTAGATTGCTACCAATCAGCATAAATTTGTCCACCTTTTCTACCAGTACAGAGGCAGCGGTACACTTAGCTGAGAAAATGTGGATTTCCATTGAACAAAAATATGGTTGTTTGCCTGTTAGATTACAATGGGCAAGTAAAGATGTATATGGTAGGTAAACAACGACTTAGACAATTATTTTCCATTCTGAATTCTTGAAGTCATTTTAAATATATTATGTCGTAACCATTTAGTTTGAACTATTGTTGTATGTTTGCTAATTATTTTCACCCAATAACGAACTATCAGCGGCAAATTTGTATATCACAACTGTTATCCAATAACAAATTATCAGTATGTGCTTAGTCCAATGAGTGGTAACTAGTTGAGAAGAGATATAAACCATTTGCCTAGAATTACTGTCATATACCAGTAGAAATCATAAACAGACGACGCGACACAGAAAAATAAGTAGAAAAATCGACAAACATAGATTTATTGATCGAAAAAATAGAACAACCCACATGGACAAAGCATATTAATTTTATGAGTTCCTTCAGAATATTTTCGAAATTTTCGAACACTCCTGGTTGGGCAGGACTTTCCACCGATTGGTTAACTGAATCATTTCTATTCAAACTACCAAACTCACATATAGTTACTGCATGTTTTCTCACTTTAAAAAGTCACACATTGATAATGATAATTAGGTACAGGAAACGTATATATATATATATATATATATATATATATATATATATATATATATATATATATATATATATATATATATATATATATCCAGACTATTTTAATTGCTTGTCAAAATTAAGAAAAACTAATGAATGACATCTACTGTTCTTATTTAGTACTTGAAATAATTCGATTTTCTTAACTTATTCCTTCTTTAGATCCATTGGGATTTCTTCTCTATATAGTTCATACTAATTTTTAGTTTGGTTTAAAGATATTTTTAAAAAAAGATCACAAATATTTGAGCTAATTTAATTTAGAATTTTATCAAATATACATTACCCTCAGTTCATATTCGTGAGTCTTATAAAAGACCGTTTTCTCTATATTTTTTAGCCGACAAAACATATTTAGATTTACTTAATACAAATTAAATAAAGAATTTCAATTATTCTAATTATATTTAGTATATTCTTATCCAGACTTAAATTCATTGTCTTTCGATTCAAATGTTAACTGTTTTTCACTGAATTTCTGACTCCACACATTTGCTAACATTTTCGCAAGATATGCGAGCATTAGGAAGGACTGTTGTTGTTGATATCCAGGACTATGAATAGTCAGTCTTTGCTGTCAGTTATGGATCAAGTATAGATCGCATCGATTTTGTATTGTCTAACAAGTGTATATAACGAATAAGAGCTCTTTTTAAACTTTGAGATTTATCAAAAGAAGAATACTTATATAATGTTCATATAACAGTTTATTAATATTTTAAATTCGATTCTAAAGGCTATCATCACACTTGAATCATTCAGTTCATTGACAATACTTAACTATGATTTCAAGAAGAAACTCTATTGATGTATATTGATATATAATCTCAATAGATATTCATTCATTATAACCAAAACCTAACAAACTATCACACATTAGAAATTTCACTACTTAAACTCATTCATTTGAATATTATTTATTGATTTCAGGTGATTCAACGAAAACGTATCGTAAAGTTTGTTGTCTTCCATCATGTATATGGGTATTTGTCAATGTGATCACTTTACTCAGTATGGCTACATTAATTGCTATTGATAATTCATTTTCATCAGTTGAAAACAAAGATAGTAATAGTAATCCAACTCCAAAAATTGATGGTGATGTAAATACTATGACAGAAAATTTAAAAGTATTCATCATTGTCTGTGCTGTTATATCTGGATTAAGTTTTCTCATCTTGATTGCTGCTATTACACCAGGTGTATTAAAATTAATAAGAGGTCGTCCATTTCAACATCCAATTAAAAAACCATTCTATCCAGATCTTGAAAGTTACACAGATATAACAATGGATAGCTGTTATGGTAGTAGTCTACGTAAATCTTATCCTTTTCCTAATTGTATCGAAACAGGTCAATGTGGTACAGAATACGATACAAATTGTTTTACGCATGGTAAGTTTTGTCTAACTTACATTTCATTTAATCTGTCATCTTGTTGTACTAATGAGGTATGGCAACTTGGACCGTTGCATATATGTGCCTGATCCTACGTCGTAGCTGACTGACTGACTGACTGAATGTGTGAACAATATAATGATTCCCATTTATTCTGTAAAATAATTTTAAAGTTAGTAAAAATTAGCTTCATGACAGATTTTTGTAAACAATCAACTTACAAAATGTATAGTTCTGAGTGAGTAAACAAATTTTCTAAAGTTTAAAACTTATGTCATTGAATACTAGAATCTGGATTAAAAACTGTAATTAATAATCAACCTATGCAGAAATTATTACACAAACCCAGATTGAAAATACTTGAAGGGCTAATTGACACAATATCAGTAAATAAATAAATCTGCAGGGAATCGAAATTACGACAGTGAATTTGAATGGTCTATTAGACAAATCAAAAATAAACCTCCTCTAAATTCATACATAAATTTGATTCATTCCTAATATTACTTCCTTTTTTTTAAAAAAAGATCAGTAAATTAATTTAACTTCAATGTCTTAAATGTATATTCAGTAACTACGGTTATTGAAACCGGACTATCAATCAAGAAAATGCCAGTAAAAAATTTTTTTTGAATTTTAAATTAAACTATCCTCTCTCTCCCATAGTGAATGACATTAACTTCAAAAGTTTAATTTGTTGTTATACAACATAAGTGATTTCCATGAAATTCTGATTGTTTAATTCTATTCTTGTCCTGTTGTATTGAATCCTAGTAGTATGTATGTATGTATGTATGTATGTTTGTCTAACATAAATAATTGAATAGGATTATTGATACACCATATTACTCCTGCAGTTCAATACAGTTGTTATCAATTTTATTTATAATATAAACTAACTATAAGGGTAAATTTTTTTATAAAAAATTATTTCCACCATGCTTTTGGATCACATGAAACTAGTTTTTATGGTTCAAAGCTAATTCGGTAAAACCAAATTGTTATTAATATTACTATTATTACACTATCTTACTCTATACTTAAGAAATGATAAGAAAATGTTAAACTATCAAACAAGAACTCATAGTAACTAATTTTAAATTTGTCGAAACAAGACTTTGGATTCACCGCATGAACTGATCATTAGGGAGTCATCATAGTTGTATTATATTTGAGGATATTTTAAAAAAATATAAATGAAAATAAGTAATAAATAAAAATATTTAATGTGTATTAGATCCATTATTCATCATATAAATTATCTAGATTATCTTGTTATCTCAAAGATAAACCTGTTTCATAAGTCTTTCAACAAACTAACTAACTAAACAAAACCATAATCATAAAAGACTTACCCAAAAACTACCCTCCCCTCTTATTTGTAAACAGTTTGCACTGATGATCAGCCTTATACAATACAGTTGACTGTATTTTTCTGTGATAACACAATTGATTTTTATCTAGTGTTACGTTAACACCACACTACAGTCTTGTTGTTCATTCCAAGTTACTGAACTAATTATAAAGATTACATAAGGATAACATATATGTCTATAAATTGGTAACTTTATTATGCATCAAATCGACAAGTCTTACAAGCAATAGTTCACAAGCAATAAAACACCTTCAATACATTCTTTTGTTCTGAAACAATTGATTTTCCAATTGTTCAGTAATGAATGTGTTCATAATTTTAACTTAAGGTAGGTTGCTCCATCCTTTAATAGGCTCCGAAAAGGTAGTTCATAATTCTGAGATATTTTTCAAGTCTGACACTTCTTTAAAATTACTTCCTTATCACAACACGATTATTATTCGAAAAATGAAGAATAACATATGATATAATCCTTAAGTGAAGTACTATGTAAATGCCATCATAAAATATTTATAACACAATATAAATCAATAGAATGTTGTTCTTCAATGAATCCAGCCTAGTTTTTATACTCAAAATTTTATAGTTGAGTTTTAACGCTTAGTTTTATCACTTCATCTTTTAGTTGTGCATATGTAATCAAATTCACTGCTAAACACTTTCATATTAATTTTAGTATTAAAGTTATTTAGATTTCAAATATCTCTATTTTGAGATCATTTTACTAAACTATATCACACTGCTAACGTTGAGCGAGGTTAAAAGTAACCTTGATAGTAATATGGTAAGTTTTGGAGATAGTAGAGTTTTCATAGTTTAAATCATGAAATGATTTTAGCTACATTAACATTAAAACCCTGGAAGCGCCGGTTGAATGTTTTGCCCATTATGGGACATATCAGCATTGTGTACACACGACTCCACGTCAGAGAGTCAAATTCAAGACTTTCGGTTTGACGAGCCAACGCTTAACCTCTAGACCTCTAAAGTATGAAAATAATGGTGCTAATCATATATTTCTTATCAGCCTTCGAGGATAGTGACAGACTAAAACAAGGGTCGTTTGGTAAAACACAAGCGTATTTTTTTCATATAGTTGGTCAATATTTCAATATTGGTAGTGGATGTTCCACAACTATTCTTAATGATAATCTTCCTTCTTACTCAGTGGATTGTTGAATCTTGATTGAGTTATTTAACATCATATTACTCATACAAAAAAATTCTATGTATTATACTTTTCATAAAATATCTGTGTTATTCACCGGTTTTATGTATTTTATAAATTGTCTGCAAGCTGATGTTGTGTTTTATCATTTTTTATTGAATATTTAGGAGCATACTATAACAATGATTCAAGACCATTTTTAGGTGGCTCAAATAAATTAACATCAACTGCATCAATGGCCGCAGCAGCTGCAGCTGCGGCTGTTACCGCAGCTGATCGTCACTGGAGACAAATGGAAAATGTTAAATATACTAATCATCACTATCCACAACAAGTGTATGAGCGTGGTCAATTTAAGTCTAAAGATGAATTTGATCTGCAGGGTAATCTAAACAGAATTAATTCAAAAATGGATACCAATTTCAGTGGCCATGATGATGATGAGGATTCCAGTGAAGAATCAAAACAATCCGATTCAAACGAACATAGTTCTAATGAAGATGAAGAAAGTTCTCCAGCTGATGGACCTTTATTTAATTCAGGAGAACATTTAATAAATGGTGAAAACATTCCAAATTCAAATCATGGAACGTTTCATAAAAAAAATCTGTTAGGAAATCACCAAGGTAAAGAGTACTCGAAATCGATAGGGAATAACAAGCGAAGAAAGACCATATCTATTGAACGTCAGAAAAACGAACAACTTCTGAGACAATATGTATTAGATGCTTGTTCGGTTTTATCTATGTTAGACCGTCGAATCGGTGGTCGACAAACTCGTTTGATAATATGTGTTAACGCGATCACCGGGACAGTAGAAAATTCAGCAGCGACTAAGAAACTTTTGGATTTTATGCATCTCTTAGATCATATTCTAATGAAGCCACCAACTGGAGGTAAAAGTTATGATGTCCCTTTAATTCTTGCTCCAATTGGAGCTACAGAAGGTGTAATGAATGACATACCACCTACAGTCTGGATACCTAATGCTGTTATGATTATCGCAGCTAATATCTCAGGTATCAGTGCTAATAATTCAAGAACACATACTCTCGATTCAGTTAGTCTGAATGATCTTAACCAAATGCACCGAATGTCTTCCGCTTTGAGATTGTCTTTGTCAAATTCTTCAGGAGGATTCAATCCTAAGATTTGGTATTCTATTCATCAGTTGTGTCATTTACCCATATACATAGAAGATGAACCACTTTGTTTCAGAGTATATGATCAGATCAACGAACAACCATTTATTAGCCCTGCACGCTCAGCATCAAATGTACAACAATCGCACGTAAGTTTTAAAGTAATTGTATAACAATATACATTGATTTAAAAATAATGATTCGTTTAACGAGTTTCATATTTAAACCCGGTTATGTAGTCCTGAAAAATTACATCACATCAATTCTTTTTTGGTTAGGTAAACTTCTTTCAAACGAAATAACATCTTTTACTAGCCTTCCATTTTTTCTATACAATGATTTTGTTAAGTTATTTGAATTATGTTTTCTAAAAGCATTTTATTTCAATAATCTATAGTAGTTTGTGAAGCTGAGTATTTTAATGATTGTCAGGCACATCATTAGGTGTTAAAATTAGATATGCTTTTGTTAATATATATATATATATATTGCACGTGGGATTCACTAGTTGTAATTTAAATGTCCGACATATTGTACATTCTAGACACTCATCAGACTGTTCTCTTTTGTTGGTGATTATTCGAGGCTGAAGTTAATTATAATTTAAAAAATAAACATAGAAAGGATATCTACTAAAAATTCATTGCTTACAATGACATTTTAAAATAATTTTCTGTATAAGCTTATTATTATTGAATCAATGTAAGAGGTATGATAGAACGAGGACACTTTATCATACTACGAGATGTGAACTAAACGTTTTTCAGTGCTTACATACTTCAGATCATGTGTGTCATCCATTTCCATAATTACAGCCCATAGTTCAACTAGATATAGACTTAATAACAGGATTCTAATTGAATTTCAAAGAAAATCATTTTCATATCCCTGACTGTTATGTTAATGACAGTAACTATATTTACTAAGCTACTTACTGCAAATTAAACTTTCTCGTTTCACATGTATTTGACATACATAAAAGCTACGACTTTATCATTAAAAACAGACAAAATACGATGTTCAAAAATATTTATGTTGTAAATCCCTATGGTATTCGAAATTTGATGAATCTACCATTTTTACAAGAGTAGTTAAAGTAGACAAAATCATACTGCCATTAATATTTCGAAAAAAACATCTAATTTTCAAATGAAGAACTAGATTCCTGACTTTATTTTATTGGTAAATGTTCTTGATACCTACCACATACATGATTACACTTATCATATTCCAAGCAATTACAATAATATACTTTTCATGTAATATACATTGTTTTTTTATTTTCTAGCAAGAGAAAAAGACTGAAGTGTCTCAGCCAAAATCAATGATCGATCTTTATGTGGGCAAACATGATTTATTGCATTTCAATAAAAAAAGATTTCGTCATCTTTTGACACTGACAGCTTTTACAGGTTGGTGTTTAATTCCATTCCGATTCAATATATTGGTGTTTTATTTTTAATATATCTGTTAGTCCAGTAACGTATGAATTTCCGAGGATTTTATCAATAAATAAACATCAGTAGAATTCTCAGAAGGGGTTTTGTGGAAATTTTAGAAATTTCACTGATTGAAATCATGAGTCAATTGAACCTAGACCATCATGGAAAACCTGGAAGCACTGGACGGCCGTTTCGTCCTAGTATGAGATTCCTCAGCAGTGCGCATCTCCACAAGACCCCTTCTGATAATAATCATCTGCTCACTAGTGGCTGACTTCAAGAGATACTCCTGGAGTTCTAGTGAGAAGCCGATACCAGTGGAGTTCAACCAGGTCTGTTGTGAGATATCAGCTCACTGAAGACAATGGTGTACGGTGGTGCAATTTCGTGGATTCGTTGAAGTTAGACATTAGCACCGTTGGATGCCGGCTCAGTTGTCTAATGGTTAAGCGCTCGAGCGCGAGACTGATAGATCCTGGGTTCGAATCTCGTGGGGTGCGGGATCGTGGATGCGCACTGCTGAAGTGTCCCACAATGGGATGGAACGGCCGTTCAGTGTTACCAGGTTTTCCATGGTGGTCTAACTTCAACTGACTCATGATTTCAATCAGTGAAATCAGTAGTTGTTGATATTCAAATTCTGGTTTTAACGCGATTGCAATCAAACTTATTTTGAACGAAACCGATCATGTATCAATTAACAAATTTTTTGAACAAGAAATACATGTTCAATAATGTGAAGTCATCCTCTGGTTAGAAAAACAATTTTTAAGTAAATAATAAACTAACTACCTTAGTTCACCTAAGTGTTTACAATGTGGGAAACTTAATAACTTTATTTGTTTCACAATAAACTGTAATCATTATCTTAAACTGGTTCATGTTCAGCTTTCTGAACAAATCATATCTTGTTACTGGAACTTATGAAGGCTTATTCTAAAGTAACCTTTTAATGATATTTACACTGATTCCCATTTTTCGAAAAGATAGAAATGATTGAATTGAAATTTCTATTTTTGTGCTTTTGTTTAGGTCGTATGGTGAAACTGGATAGATTATTCACCCAACGCATAATTTATCAAAGTGGTCAAAAAAGTTTATCATATCTAAGTGCTTTACAATATTTTGCTAACGAACCTTCGTTAAATACACTTGTGACGTGGTTATGCTTTTTAACACATTGGCCATTTCATGCTGCATGGTTAGGTGTATTTATTGAAAATTATCAAAAGTGTGAAATCAAAGAACGTAATAATTATTTATTAACTAATCAAACCTCGCGTTCACAACCTGAAGGTCTTAATCGAACACTAAATGATACTAATCCGTCACAATTTGGAATGGAACAATTGGCTCCAAGTTTAACTGCTCTATATTCACGTGTAATAAAAAGGTATTCAAAGACATTTCCAAATATTTCAAATATGATATTTATTTTTTGCTTATGTTTTATGTAACTGCATGTTTTCTAAACAAATTCACAATAAAATCACACGAGATCTAACACATAAAACGCTCGAATGAAATCGTTGATAATTTTGCAACAAATGGGAAAAAATCACAGATTTGTAAAATCGATGTAGAAGAATGTCCTAGATATTTGCAGAAACAAACAAACCTTTATAACTCCCATCGAATCATAAAAACATTCAATTCGAAGATTCCAGGGTTCGGCTTTTTCCATTCGTGACTGGCATATTTGAGAAACATACACCATTCTTGTGATTCAATGATTTTATTAAAATTCTTAATACCTAGTTAGATTTAAATAATCTCTCCACACTTTTACTACATCCTTCCTTGATTTGACTTACCCGTCTTCTATCGAATATATAATTCCGATGATATCGTGGTAATGACCTTTGAATGTTTCCTTAACCATAAACGGATACATTTGATACACTTGATCAATAATCAGTAACATTGTTTACACACCTGCCTAACTTGATCTAGACCACGTTTGTAGGGTTGTGAAGTCATTATACTGAAGAATTTCACATTGAGACAAAGAAGCTGCCTAATATTCACACACTTTCAATGGTTTTCCCCTAAAGTTAGTCCATGATGAACAGCCTCCACAAACCACTAGCATTAATTATGCTCATTAGTCTGGAACCTACTTAATATTGAGGAGATTGTAGTCATATACAATAATAACCATTGACAAAAAAGGTAAATATTAATCTTAAATGATGTTTCTGATCCACTACATTTAGCTGATATACGCTTCGCGTATTTCCATGGTCGAACTATTTTAAAAAAGACAATAAGTATTAATACACAATGTGTACATGGACATAATTATGAACAATCACTGTTCATTATGATCAAGTCAAAAATATCCTATTAAAAGTATTGTATTGAATAAATTAATTCAGAAGATTGAGAGAAGTGCAAAACTCACCTATATATGTAGACTGCTAGCAAATTTTCCAAGGTTTTTCGGAATCCGTTTCCGAAGCTTGGTATTGGTCTAAATTTTAGTCACAACTCTGTGGATAAACGTGTCCGCATAAACACCACTAATTTCCTTCCTTATCTTTATTTGACCTTTGCCTACCATTCAAAATAATGATTTTCTCTCACCTTGTCAGATCAGATCAATGTCAATACAATCTCTCGATGTACTTTCATTACGACTAATAATCGATTTTTAGTGACTAATCTATCTTGTTATTTATCAAATAAAATACAAGCTCACATTACCCTCGAAGTTAGATACATAAACTTAATCCCTTCCACCAAGACATTATGACTAATATCAACATTTTTACAATTTATAATAAATCTATTTTTTGTTATATTCCAATAAATAGAAAACTTGTATTTCTGAGGCTTTATAACTTAATGTAGGCCACTTTTTCAGAGAAAATAAACGTTGGCATTGATACTTACAAATTCGCTGATTTTTAATTTCAAATATGATGCCCGTTACCACCAGCCATATACCTATACCATAATTCAAAGTCTAAATGTTCTAACAAAAGATTTTTGCTTTTAGTTCTAAAGCCTGTTAAGAAATTATCGAAACTGCGTTATTCCCATAATCACCTATTATTTAGTCATATATAAGGTTTGATATAGGAAACGTTTCTGTATTATTGACTTGTTAGAACTGTTACGATTTTGTAAGGAATTTACTTATTTTTTTAGTCACAAAATGCTAACAGAGTAGAATAATTATGACTAATCTGTAAAGATGGGATGATTGATTCAGAAACAGACTGAGTTAAGTTAAAACTATGAACCACATAGATTCCGACTTTACGATTTAATGCTGTTATGCTTGCTACGTAACCCGAAGCTTACGTAGCTATACGACCAATGAGTACGAAATTGAAATAAATAGCTTTTCAATTAACCTTAACTGTCAATGATTGTTAAATTTGAGTCAGACTATGATGCTAAACTACACAATCCAACAATCTCTAAACCTCCTATTATTTAGAATTAAGACTAAGTAATTGATTAGGTACATGTGCCTTTTTAAAACGTTGTAAATACTCATGAAGTCAACTGGATAAGTATCCATCTCATAAATTTACAAAAAATATGAAATCTGGAAAGATTTTACGAAAGATTGAGTAGTAGTTAGCAGTGTAGTTCATAAGGAAAATATATTTCGGTGCCCCAGTGTTTATTACTCACGATCATTATGGGAAACTGAATAAAATGAATTTTAATATATATATATAGGACGAAACGGCCGTCCAGTGCTTCCAGATTTTCAATAGTGATCTAACATCAACCGATTCATGATCTCAATCAAAAATGTAACAAATCTCCACAACCCCATACTGATAGATATAATGCATTAGTTATTTTAACATTAACAAATCCATCTCATTGGTAATCCTAAATTCATATAAAATAATTTCATATATGTAAATACGTCGAACTTGGCTACTCTTATAGACGATTAATCTAAAGTTATGGCTATAAAAATTACTGGTAATTTCTTGTGAAGAGTATGATAAATTCTGATTTCTACGTTTTAATGTAAAGGAAAACTTTTTGACTAATAGTTTCTCTGATGTTCAGGTAAAATTCATCAATGGTCGAATAGTCTTTTGTAAAATCACTCACTGATTTTAGATATAATGAACGAAATATATCTTTTGTCAAGTTTAAAACTAGTGATGCCATTGATAAATAAAAACCTACTCTTCCCATATGTTGTTCATCTGTAGTTGAACTTATTTGATAATTGCTAAAGAAGGGGTTTTGTGGAGATTGTAGTAATTTCAACAGTTGAGATCATGAGTCAGTTGAAGCTAGACCACCATGGAAAACCTGGAAGCACTGGACGGCCGTTTCGTCCCAGTGAGGGAATCCTCGCAGTGCGTATCCACGATCTCGCCCCCAGCCAGATTCAAACCCAGGACGTATCAGTCTCGTACCAGGCGCTTAACCAACTAGACCACTCAGCTGGCGTCCAGCGCTGTTAATGTCTAACTTCAACTAATCCATGAAATTGAGCGACACATCTACCATTGTCATCAGTGAGTTACTAGCTCGCAACTGACCCGGTTGAATTCCACTGGTCACTTCTTCTCACTAGAACTCCAGGATATACCTTTTGAAGCCAGTTCAGTGCTTCTAAGTTTTCCATGGTGGTCTAGGTTCAATTGACTCATGATCTCAACTGTTGAAATTAGTAAAGAATCATATGAATTGAAAAATGAATTGATAGCTAAATCAAATAATACTGGCAGATTTGTACAAAAATATTACATGATATCATAGTCCTGAGTGAAAATTGGACATTTTGACGGCAGATGTTTAAATTCTAGACATTGTTGTTCCAATGTTGATTAAATAGCAAATGTTTGTCTGACAATGTAACTACTGAAATCGGAAATGGTCTACTTGATAATGACCACGTCCTAATAGAATATTATAGATCTGTATGGTGTCTTCTGATGCATTAATTTGGTATATGAAATAGCCATTAAATTATTGTGATCAAATGATTGAACTCTACTTTTTTCATTGTACTTTAATGGTCATTCCATAATAATTTACCTCGTATTGTTCACATATGAAAATATATACACCGTTGTAAATAAGTTAATAAAGTGTGAATGTTATCAAAAGATGTTTTTGAAGATCCTGAAAGGTCTATCTTGCATACGTAATTAAAAAGCAGTGAAACCAATCAACAAAATTATATCATATTGTGAATCAGACGTTACTTCAAACGCAAGTGCACGAGTCATCGTTGAACAATACAGGAGGAATTCTATGAGCTGATAACGGAAATGAACTAAATTGATAGAAAAGATTAAATAATGTCAACTGCGTCATAAAAGGAATAGAAAATATCTATCAGATAATAATTTACTGTTAAAGATTGGAAATATTTCTTTTGTATCTGGGATTCATCTAGTAGATAACGAGTAAGAGAACGTGTGAAAATGAAAACAAAATCCATGTAATCCAAACTATTTGATTTTTCAATAGATGACGTTGATGCTGTTTTTCCTTGAGTTACAGCATTTTGTGTGTGGTCTTCGTTCAGGTGTTAAAGTTAAGTGCGGAAAATGGCTGCTGCAGCAGCTAATAAACTTAGCGAAGTGCATAGAAATAATTGGATGAGAAAGTAATTTTTCATGATAACAGTGATGTTTGAAAGTTGCAGGTCTGCTAAAGTATAAATTCGTAAAACGTTCTTTAAGTTGATTTTAAAAAAATGTCTTGAGTTTACATGACCAACGCGGTGTCCCGTAAAATTACTTTGGAAATGAGATCTCTAGTTTTCGTTATCCCATATTGTCTTTATACCTTTAACAATGAAGCAACCGACTACGACTTTATAAAACAATGCTTCTTTAATGACTTACTTTGTTAGCTATTCCATCTGTTCTATACCTGTTCCATGCTTAACGAGTTTTCTCTCTCTGTCGATACATGTCCAACCACAAATCTGAAAAGATTTCTTTTTCATACTGCTTCATGCAGATGAATCTTGCAAACAATACACTACTGTTTTTAGTGAAAAACATGTAAAACAGGGAGATGAACGGTTTTGAGTGGCGCTTCTGAGCGAATTTTTTTAATACAACCTTGGAACTGTCAAACATAGTTAAGTGTGTTTAACTCTTAAACAAATTTGAATATCCTTAATGTCGGGTATAAAGTAGTTTTCAAAAAGCAGTACAAATATAATGTCCATCTCAAACCATCTCTAAGTATATTTAAAATTTGGCAATAAGTTTAAATGCATATTTAAGAGATCTCTTATTTATACTTTTTAAGGTAATATGGCTCCAGCATATTGTATGCATTATCTGATCATCATCAGCCACAAATATGACAAATTATTTTATTAGTGACACACAAATAAACGAAACGCCAATATTGATTTAAAACATAACTTTCAATAAATATATCAGCGTCTTTAAAGTGATTGTTCCATGTGTAGTTTCTACATTTAAATAAATGAGTTCCGAACTGATTAATGACGATTATTTACCCTTGGATAATAAATACTGTTAACCTCCAAGTGATCAGTAGATATATATTCTTTTTTAGAAGATTGGTCTTTTCATTAAAACATACAAGGAAAATACCACCTGGTGATCTACTCTATTTGATTCAAAACCATTAAAATGAAAAAAATTATCACAGATACCTGCTATTAATCTAATTTTCTTATATTAATTTGTATTTGGTAATGTTCATTATTCACTATTGGGTTTATTGTTTTAATCAAAAGAACCATAGTAACATTGTTACTCTAAACGATGGAACAATATTCACTAATTTCTATCACTGATTCATAAAGGTTTTGAAACAAAAATCAACATCATAATTTAGGATATATCCAGTGTAAGAAACTGATCATCTGAGAAATAAATTGACCATATAAAATAGTTTCTATGGTGTACAAACCAGTATAAAGATGTTAAATGAAAGGAAATAAAAATGTATGTATATACATACACGCACTTCACTTAAAAAATATTTCATTATATAAACTATGATTTCTGTTTACTCACTTATGAGGATGATTTCCGTTTGTATTTCGTATACATTATTAGTGTTAAAACACCAAGAATACAATATTTGCAATCTATAATCTTCCTTTAATATATGAGAAAAATAGTATTCATTTCAATTACAGTTGAATGAAGAACAGTTGAGAATTATGAAAAAGTTAGGTGATTTCACAAATCACTCGTAATAACTTAATACTATTCTTGGAGTTAACATGTGATCGCTTACAGATAATACAACAAGGTTTAATATAAATTGTAGTTGAATTAGCTTAGATTTGAATGCATACACTCTTGTTTTTTTGTTTAAAGCACTTAACATCATTTAATATTTCTAAGAATATGGAAACTAGTACACTTTATTTCATGGTTAAGTCACAAATATAGCCATATCTCTATTCAAGTCATAATCGAACACTTACATAAACGTAAGCATTCACTAAATGGTGTGGTGTGTGCTACTGATATCGACGGATATAAGTAGTATATATTATCAATCAAAAGTGAAATGCCTGGAGGTAGAAGGTTAAGAAGATCGAAGAATAGAGAACGAAAACAGAGAATTAGTGGTGTGGAAACGAAAGGGTAATGAAGTTTCAGACGATTGATTGACATTTTGTAAATGAAGTATTTAGTGTATGATTCTCAGATTTTACTAATACGTTCTGTAATTTTGTGTTGAAATACATTCAATTGTCCCCATTTTTGTTCTTCTTCACTACAGGTAGTAATCATTAGTAAAATAAAGTTAATAAGGGATCTACTTCAACAGTGAGCTGTATTTGTTAATTTACAACTTATTTAAGCATAGGTAGTTTCGTTGTTCTTAAAAGTTTGTGAGATATTTCAGAATTCTCAGTAGAAGATAATAACAAAAAAGGAATACATATTCTACATTTAAGTAACTTTTATCTCTATCATAAAAAAAACATTCTATGACTTTAAAATATAAATCAGAAAAGTTTCTTTAGTAGTGAAGTTATGGATTATCGGTGAGACTGTAATTTATGGACGACCTTTGAGCGACATTAGAGTGACCTTGAGAGGGTCCACCTAATAACTGAGACCAAATGAAGATTCTAAACCAGTGTGATGAATAAGAATTATGATTTACAGTTGATGGTTAAGATTAGGGATTAGTTTTAAGGTTTACATCACGAATTAACATCAGTCATAATGCCAAAACGGTATTTTACCAAATGGATGAATGAATTTTGTACTAAAATCTTAGACCAGCCATCTTATACTTGATTGGTTTGTCCATCAATTATAGTCTCGCCGAATTATCTTCAAAATGATTTATATCTACTTATCAAATGCTATTTCATTATCCCTAAACAAAATACAGTTGCACTTTTCAGATGTCAGCCGAAAAAAATTATAAAAAAATCTCTCACAAGTTATTCTACTGCACATATACTACAGAGTACTACGTCTTACCCTTAAAATGTAGGGAACATTCGCTTAATGTATGAGTAAACTCTAAACACTAAATATTCTTTTTATAAAAAAAGCTTAAGTTGGAAACACTTATTGGTAGTAGATTATGCAGATATAAAATAAACTCGGTACTTGTTGCTTATTTCATTCACTACTCACTATCCGTTTAGTTTTTCTTTATTATTTATTGTATTTAAAATTATCATGGTAACTAACTGTATAAAAATTATTTTTCATTATCATCCAAAAAGGTTTACTTTTTTGTTTCCACATTAAATATGTACGCAGTCTTAATGTGAACAGAATACAAAACTTTGTTAATTTAACTAAATTAAGCTTTATTATTCTTAATTATGTAAATATATTTGAGAAAATGTTTTCTTTTCTGATAATAGTGAAGTCCTTAAGGAATTGAATAAACTCACTTCTTTAATGATTTGAATCTAGTTATGTAATTGTGTATATACATTTAAAGTATATGACTATATTTAATCCAATGGTTTATAAACAATTCACTGTACCTCATTTGCATTTGATCAATTGGGTGTCAATTCTAGAATTTATTTAATAATAGTTACATTAAGTAGATTTGTCATTCAAGAGTTAATTTTGATTGTTTTAGCATCATAATATGTATTAAACTAATACTTCTTTTTTATCTGTGAGGGTACTTCAACTAAATTTTAGACTGTACTAGAATTATTGAATTCTTCATAGATGATAATGAATTCATTCTAGTTTTCACTGATAGTATCGTTAGTTCTGAATAGTGTAGCGTGATATCAAAACCAAGTAGAAGTTACACATTCAATCTTCATAACTCAAATGAGATAATCATTTTAATTGTGTGAGGACAGACCATGGGTGAACTCGAGGAAGCCCTAAGAGCAAAAGATATTCCATTCAGTCATGTATTAGAAGAATATTCCAGAATCCCTATATGGAGCTTCCCTATTGGACAAATGCTAATGACACCTTGTATACGGATTGGAGGACTATATTGATGATTTTGTTTTTACCAAAAACTATAAATACCTCATAGTTTTGTATCATAATTGACACTATTTGGAATAGTATTCCTTGCACTTTTCTTCCGTCTTCTCATTCGCGACTTGGAAGTGTTCTAGCGTTCAAGTGCTCAAGTTATACGCGGTATATTAAGAATCTAAGCTATAGATATAACAATTTGAAATTCAGATTTCAAAACAAGTAATTTTCAAAACTAAATAAAATGTGGTAATTTAAACATAAACACAGTTTGAACCATTAATTAACAATCTTTAAATGTGATAACCGTTGTTAAGAAAGTCTATGATGTATAACATGAATTCAATATTATTCATCATGACTATGAAGGATCGATCATCTGTAAAGGTATGGATAAAATGATCATAACACGAGTTATAGATTAAATAAAAATTTCAGCGGCTGATCAATTTAAATTAGGATACAGTAAAAATAATTAAAAACAAAGAAAGACACTAAAAGTGAAAATGAGCTTGTATATCATGATCCATATTCACAGAAGATTAAGTTAACTGATTTGTCAGCAAATTTTATTATAAAGTCATTTAAAAATTTAAACCTCAATAATGCATTTGTAAGTGCTTGTATCTTCTTGCTGTCGATATTAAAGACTCAAACAGATCAATCTCCTTTGGAAGTTTTACATCCTGAGGGGATTTCCTCGATGTCCCCAAATAGTCGCATGTTTTAGGAAAATGTGATAGCAGCATTTTGTCCTACATGGAACAGGTCAACACGAGATACCTACAGTCTAGTGTTGATATTTACACGGAGACTTCAGCCTAGTATCTTCACTGCAAGTCCTCAACGCTTTGTTCGCTGAGATAGTGAGTACAGATAGCCAACCGTTTTGTGCAAAATCTATGTGTTTTATTTATGAGCCTTTACATAGTTCCGTCTTTGGCATTAAGGTATGCAACTGATGTGCTGCTCAGAGTACACCTAAAATATCATTTTATTAATTTATTTCTAGGTATTCATATTTTCCATTATTAGTTTTATTGAAACTTATGAAAAGTCTAATAAATAAACTAGCATAATGTCATAGATCCGTAATTAGTTGACCTTCTCATTAATTTGCAGATAAAATGAACATCATCATTTACATTCACATTTCGTCGAAAAAAATAAGAATAACCTATTTTTTAATTCATTTCATAATTTTCTAGATTTGGACCAATTATTCAAGCAGTACGTCTAAAAGCATTGTCTGCATCATTTCTAGCTACTAGTGGAGTAAACTCAATATCGGGAACATTTCATACTAACACTGAACCTCCTCTCATAACCAATGAATTATTGACAAGTATTAATAAAACTTTAAAAATCTGTGAAATTGCTTTTTATGATAAAGATCCAACTAAACTTGGTGAATTTCTAAGATCATGTGATTCAAATAAATTAGATTCGACTATTTTACAAAGTGGATCAGTTACAATTCATCAGCTTTTGAGAATTATGAAGTTAACACCATTTATAAATCCACAAATGAGCAATTGGATTGCAGGTACTCATTGAATTTATGATATTTTCTTGTTACCTTTTTCAACATGTTAGAATTAATTATTTTTTATTATATTTTACTGTTGAATTTTTTTAATGATCAATGAATTCAGTCAGCTACAACGTAGGGTCAGGCACATATATGCATCGGGCAAAGTTGCCACGAACTCGTTAGCACAACAAGATGAATACCAAATTTGAAGTAGTTACTTCAGTGGTGGTAATATATAAAAGAAAGATTGCATATAAGGATATAATAAAGAGAGAAAGAATTAGTTTATAGAAAGAAAGGTATAAAGCAATTTTAATATCACGGTTTAAGGGAAGACAAAGAGTGTATACACGGACACCATTGTGAATGATTCTCAGCCATATGACCCAGAGTCTCCAACCATTGTTTACGGTAGTTGCGCGGACCCTAACCAAGTAGTCTGCATCTACTAACATGGCTCATAGCATGAATTAGTGAATTCAAGAATTGATGTCATGTTTTAGTTTGGCCGCTCCTAACTTTCAGCCGTCTCCAACTTTTGAAAACTCTATTGACGTGATGTAAATGAAAATCATACTTATAAGCTTCTTTTGATGCAATAATAAAGTAAAACCTTAGCAGATAAGTGTACTAGGCAATAATCGTAAAGATATATAGCTTCATTTACATTGCACAACCAACCTCACTTTACTAAAATCATTATTCCGTAAATCACTATACGTGCGTGTTGTTTTTCTATATATGTGTAGTATGTAATTTCTCAATTAGAATTTTTGGGATTAGTGGAACTTTGCCTAATTTCTACAAAAAGAATTACGAATACATTTCCTGGGGGGGAGTCGTTAGTAATTTGTTTCCATTATAGGGAGTTATTTTTTAATTTTCCATTCGAAAAATCACTACTACTTGCAATTAATAAATGCAAAAAATAAATAAATTGTAATAAAACCTAATGAGAATTATAAATGTAAATATTTAGCGGATTTAGAGCATTTGGCATTACAAATTTACTGATCGTTTGGCTGACATATATATAAATACAAATACTCAAGTGAACGCTACACATAATTGATACACGCTTATGGCTTATACATAATATTCTAAAAGACTTTAACAGGCTATATGTCTAATTCGAGATAAATATGAAACTAACGTTATATTCATACATGTAATGAATTTCAGTTTAATATAATAATATTCAAAATTAACTGTTACAATCACTTGTATGTTTCTTTTATAAAATAAAAACTACTTTAGAATCACTGCTTCCTAAGATGAATAAACTCGAAAACAATAACGAACAAAATGGTAAGTATTCAGTAATTTACATTAAAATATTTTGATATATATATATATATATTCTTCTTTTCTAAGAGAATATAGTTTAATAGTTGAAATCATGAGTCAGTTGAAGTTAGACCACCATGGAAAACCTGGTAACACTGAACGGCCGTTCCATCCCATTGTGGGACACTTTAGCAGTGCGCATCCACGATCCCGCACCCCACGAGATTCGAACCCAGGATCTATCAGTCTCGCGCACGAGCGCTTAACCATTAGACAACTGAGCCGGCATCCAACGGTGTTAATGTCTAACTTCAACAAATCCACGAAATTGCGCCGCCGTACACCATTGTCTTCAGTGAGCTGATATCTCACAACAGACCTGGTTGAACTCCACTGGTATCAGCTTCTCACTAGAACTCCAGGAGTATCTCTTGAAGTCAGCCACTAGTGAGCAGATGATTATTATCAGAAGGGGTCTTGTGGAGATGCGCACTGCTGAGGAATCTCATACTAGTGGTCACTGGCCTAAATCTCCTTTATATGTAATGTAAGATAATAAAACTAATTTCATTTAGAAAGTTCACAAAATAATTTATATTCTGCACAGAAAAGTTTCATGAATTTAATTGGTACTAGAAAAATGTCAAGATTCACTAAAGTTGTTTACAATATTTCTAACTCATTAGTACTAGCATATTATTGTGGATTAATCAAATTGATCAACACTAAAGACATTAGTTATCACTCAATGATCGATTAGCGCACAAAATGTTCTTCTAGTTAAAATTACTGCTATCGACTGGATATATAAAAATACTCGAGCATCTGGACCTAACTGTCAGTTATTGGAACCTACCTGGAATATAGATTAGGCACATAAGCCGTCACAGATCCTCATTCATGTCAACCAAACTTATTTAGGGATTTTATCATCATGATATTTTACTAGTTTTTAATTCATACAACTCAAGCACTATCCAGCAGTGAAACTATCCTCTAGTCTGCAATAAAGTGAATGAGTTTAAATATATTTTGTTGGTTTAAAAGGGTTCTGACAACCAGGTACGTATTAATTCTGAAAGTCTCTGAGATTTTCGACGTCAAAAATCTAGAGGCAATCAATCTAGCTAAATGAAAGGATGAATCTCAATGTCATCAGAAGCAAAAACACACTTGATGCCATATCTTTAAGGGGTTTTGTAAGTTTTAGCAATGCTAATCCTCATTTCCTGAGACTCCCAGCTAATCTCTGGTCTAATCTACCTTACAAAAACAACATGGTTACTCAATGACTTAAAAATAACAAATTTGCTGTTTGTCGAAGCGAACTAAAAACATTATATATATGGAGAGTTACAGAAAGGGGATGTTAATTACTAAATTGATTATGATTATGTAGTAATTACATTAATCAGCAGCAAATGATGGTAAATATTATCTGGTTTGTGACAGACAATTTCCCAAAAGGGATTCCACTGCAACTGGACGTTTAGAATGCGCATTTATTTCTTGATTACGTATCATGAATTCCTCTGAGTAACCGTTGCTAACGAGACAAAATAGTTGATAGATGAATCAAGGCTAGCTTATGTCCAATGAAATTAAAAGTGTGTTTGTTTCTCTTGTCAGACAATTCCCGTTAAACATCAGGAGACTAACTAACGAATCCAGTCTGCTCAATCAGATTGTTTCTAACTTCAATAATTATTGTTTAACCGATCACAATAACATGAAAGATATATTTTCTCCAGACAAATAGAAAATATTCAAAGTACATCTGTACGGTTTTGAGTGTTTATGCCTAGTATAAGACAATTATCAATGCCTATCCTTTTAAATAATTGAGGCAAACCCATCTGTTGTCCAGTCTACTATCATAATGGCTCCGAATTTAAATATAACAGGTTTGAAAGTAATAAAAGATTTCATGTTTTTTTTTTACTAAAACTGTTTGATCAATATCTATGGTCTGAAAATAATTTATATTTCAAATGTTTGTTAACTAGAAAGCTGATTAGTTTGAAGATTCATAAACTCTTCACATTGGTATATTTTCTGTTTAACTCAGATCCCTAGCATATTTAAGTAAAATACGAAACAAATGTCATTCAGAATTCCAAATTTTCCACTACTTATGGCTGGTGGAATTTTCAAAAATTACTTATTCATTGTTAGATTTCCCAGCATAAAATTCTATTAAACATAAATAACTGAGAATTGTAAGTTTAGTTGTTAATAAAACTAATAAGTAAGATAAACAAGTTTATGATTGACTTAGCAACGAACCTTGGGCCTGAGAATGAAAGGATGAAAACTGATTTGCTGTTACTTTAAGAATGTATTTAAAGATTAATTATACAAATTAGTATCTGTTATAAATTAACTACTCATCGTTTGTTCCCTTAGACGTTTTTAACCACTATTTTTCATTATAGTAATTAATCCGTTCGCTTTTAAATGAAATTTTTATTCTAGTGATAGAAAGAAAACCAACCAGTTCAAGAAGTAGTCGACGTTCACATACATTTAATATGACTGAAGATCATGGTATTGTTTTACCAACTAATGTTACAGAAATCAAAAAGGATTCATTTAGATCATGCATTGCAAAACTTAAGGTAAGTTGCATCCGCTTTCTGTTATCTAGGTTTAATATAAATTTTGAATGACATTCTACAAAACTGTTTTTTGTGAAGTAATTTACATATTACAACAAACTAAACGTGGTTGTCGAACTGCTCGCGAAATTGTGACCGAACATCTATCAGAATATTATAAGGGTATTGAATTTGAAGCCTAAAAAGTATTATTTATGGAAATGTCTCTATAATGATATTGAATGTCTAACCAAAAACTGTTAGCATCTTGGTTGATCCAATTGTGAATGAACTAAGTTGTTAATTCAGACATATAGCAATTTAAGCATTTTTAGGCCCACAGACCATACATGCAAAACAAAGTGAACTACGCTTCTACAATAAATGGCTAAACAATTTTTCGTTAATAAAAAGTATATAATATTCATACATATACGATAGATTAACTTAACATTGCGCTATAGCACAAGCTGTTTTATTTCCTTTCACTTGGTTTTTTTTCAACAAAGTTTCTTTAAAAGTATAAATGTCTCAATTAACATGCAATGACATTCTTATGAAACATGCAACAAAGTAATCTCTTTACTGTAGATAAATTTTTGTAAGTTCTAGTCTTATTAGTAAGAAGTATTTTGACGTCCAGTCAAATATAATTGATTCAACTTAATGCAAAAGTGAACGAAATTATCTTCCACATATATTTATACTAGAAAAGCACTGAAAACAAAGTTGCATTGGTTCACAAACAGGACATTCTTTTCCTGGATTCCTATTAGCTTTTTGATTAATATTAAAATATCTAGGGTCACATTAGATTTTTTAAAAATGTTGCCTGTATTCCATGTTCTTCACTTTATTGTGTGACAGTATCGAGTATTATATAATTAACAGTACCTCGTTAAACAATCACTGATGCACAAATAAATAATATATTTTTGATATTCCAATGAGTAGAAAATCTAATTTTCTACTCATTGGGATATTACAAATATATTATTTATTTATAACAAACTACCCAATGCTCAATTTATTCGAAATCATCAAATCAAATCTTGGTAATGATACATACAAAATCACTAATGCAGTTTCTAATACACCAGAGTTATCTATTAACGTGATGCAGAATAGCACATTTTTAGTTTTTTAAGTCAGCTCTAAAGAATACATAAGTAAATTTATTTGTGGTAATAATTATTACAATGAGCTAGTTCCTGTATTTAGTTGAGTTTAAGAGGTACTGTTTTCTTAACTAAGACAGTACAAATATGTAGTGGTTATTGATTTTCAGTAGTTCATAGCTAAGTAATTACATAAGAAACTATCATTAAGTTGAGTGGTAACTATTCAGTTCGATTTTACATCAATAACAAAACCGGTACTTATTATCTTTTATTTCTCCGTTCTTCAGGAGACAGTTCCAAAGAAACCTTTAAATCAATTTACAGTGAATGAAGTATGTCAGTTGGTTGAAAGAATAGTGATTTTAACTAACAAATATTTCAAAAGTAATAAAATGGGTCTCTGTCAAGACTCAAGGTCACATGATCACTTAATTAACATTCAGAACAATTCAGATTTAACTAAAAGACTAAGTTCTGAAGAGTCTGAAACACTAATTAATGATCCAATGCCACCAGCAGCTGTAAACACAACATCGGATAATATAACTGTATCATCAACTATTAGACGTTATACAGATTCTATAAGAAAGTTCAATATCACGGGAAGTGTGCTAGATCTATGTCCTTTAAAGGATCTAGAAGTCAAACTTAACATATCCCCTATTGACTGGAAATTATTTTGTGCGTTTATACAGCACTTGAAACAAACTGAATGTGAAGAAATGTTGATATCAGTAAAATCACAAAATTCCAACACGCAATTCACAGTACCATGTAAACATTTAGCTCAAAATTATCCAAGAATTATTCAGAGTTCTAGAGATAAACTTATTGAAACAGACAAATCGTCAGTACTATCTGAAATAAGGAAAGATCAGCTACAGATGAACACAATAAGTGATACAAGTTTGACGGTAAAAAGTGCGCCATTAATAAAGCACTACGAATTGGACAATGATGTAAGACAAAATGAGCGTAATGATAAAGCAAACCAAATCAGTGTAATGCATAACAACAGATCTATGAGCATGTTAGGTGTAAACAGATTAAATGATACTGAACATGCTATAAACAGCAATATTCATGTACCACGATATGATCGTACAATGGCAATTTCCAAACTGAAAACTAAATCGCATCATCATCCTAAGGCGATGGAACAAACAATTAACTCTACACAATTACCTTGTGAAAAGCATCACTATACGTTATCACCTCAATCACGACAAACATATAATGATGATAAATATGTTAAATCACAGTATGAATCGAAATCACAACAATATCCTTATATTGTTCAGCCACATTTACATCATAAACCAAAGCATCAAAAACCGTCTGAATGTAAAACGCCGTGTGATCAAAATGAATGTAACTGTTGCATGCACAATACAGTGACACAAGATGCTCTGACAGTGTGTCATGGTCATACTCTACCTCATAACTCACATATTTACCAACAGAAACAAAATCACCACCAAGAAACACGCGAGTGTGTCATACCTCCTCATCTATCGTCAAGCGCTGCCTCTTGTAATCATCACCGTAAGCTGATTACTGGTAACGATTTAGCGACGACAACAGCAGCCTCAGCAACAGAACAAGAAGAATCACCAAACGAAAACTTGGGAATATCAATTCATCGATGTTTACAGTGCGAACTTCCATTTAATACTGAGCTTAACCATCAATGTGTGCAACAATATATTGCTGATTTGTATAATTCACATAAACAAGTCAGTTCAAGTGCTCTTTATTCTTGTAAAACTGCTGAATTGATGCATCATTCTCTAGAGTTAGCGCACATTCGTAGCCATGAACTTAAAAAGGTAACACAATCCCCTTCTATGCGTCATTTTAATACAGTCAATGATTTTCCGGAAATCAACAAAAAAGACTCAGCTTCTACCTCATTAGCTGGTGAAATCGGTGATGAAGTTGCTGATATGAGTCAACTTAGTAATTATGAAGATGATAATGATGATGGTTTTTTATTATCTGGTCAAAAATTAGAAGGAAAACGAATCAATAAATCCTCAGCCACCATTATAGATAGTGATGCAGTACTATATCAACATCCATGTGATTGTAATTACTGGTATGCACATGAACAACAAGCACAACATCAAGAACATAATCAATTAGGATTAATTCAAAATGAACCAATTAAACCTCCTGATTATAAAATTAATTCTAATCACCAAGATCAGCTAAATTCTAGTTTGGATACATTAAGTACTACAACAAATACTAGCAGTAATGGTAGCAGTAATACTAGTATAATTAATGATAATATAAGTAAACATAGTCAATTAGATATCAATTCAATAAACAGTTGTGATCAACTTACATCAGAATGTTCTAGTGATAATACAATGAATTCAAAATGATAATTTATTAACCTACTTTCATTTAATAAATGATTATAAACATTGGACAATTGAATCTTCCAGCTTGCATCATAATAAAATAAATGAAGTAAATCTAAATAAGAATGATTGAATTATTCTATGATTATATATATATAAAACAATGATTCAATAGGTTCTTACTATTTTAATGAGAATATTATATAAAATAGTATATTCAATTCAATTTCTTTTTTTAGTATTAATCATTACATTGTGAGTTTTGTTGTTTAAATCTTATGAGTATAAATTGTACGATAATTTTATGAGTAATATCTGTAAATTTAGTATCTCTAGTGAAATGAGAAAAATTCAAATTCATATTTCTTGTGAAAAATTTATGTAAACAAAGCAAATTAAAACAAACATAAAGTTTAATGAACTAATTTAGATAATTGCCTATAAACATATATATATACATATTTTGTTCAATTGTTTTAATTGAACTATCTCTTTGATTAAGCTTTGAAATGTAAAATAAGTGGATTTCAACATGAATTTATAGTATTAATAATATTTATTTTCTTCTTAACTTTATCTTTTTAAATTTCATTGTCTTGTGGAATTTCTAAAATAAATGTTGTAAACACAATTATAATTGTTTGTACTGTTACATATCAAACACGTAGATGAATTGATAAGTATATGGTAAATAAGACTTCTACATGAAATCACATGTTGATTAAGCATTACTCGTAATGACTGGTAATCTTTGATAGGACTTTGGGTTCGTAATGGAATAGATGCACTAATAAGCAATATAATGACATATAATAAAGAAAAGTTTTGCTACTTAGGTTAACTAGAACCATATTTATCGAAATTTTTTATGTAGCTTTATTTCAACAATCGCTTGTGACTTTCACGTCCACTTAAATTAATACGAAATATAATTAAGAGCAAAGCTACACTTCAACTGGGCATCACATAAGTGTATGAGAACTAGTTAAAGGCGAAAGTAGTTATATATTAGTTTAAAATATTAATGAATTCTAACATACAATTGATAATACTAACAATAATCGAACAGCTACGAAATTGTGATTAATATTTACAATTTACATTTGAACAAGGGGCATCCAATCTTGAAAACTTACCATCTACAAAAATAGTAAATATGGATAAGCGTTATCAAAGAAAACATGAACAACCCGGCACATTTAAAAAATGAGAACTTACATTTGACTCGTATACTCCAAAATTCTTACAATAACGACAACTGACAGCCAACTGTGTAGCCGATAAAATGTATGTAAATAAGAAAGAATAGACTATGACACTTGTCGATTTAGTCTTATAATAATAAATGAACTCACTGTTTTCTTTAGGGGCTTCGTATGTGTTCAATGATGTTTCTGAAGAAATTTATAATATTCCTATTATCATCATATTAATGATAACTGAGCAACTAAAATGCGACAGGCGAGACTCTAATTTAGCGACGAGCCAATCAGAAGCGTTTGAGCCATCTCAAGGTCACGGAGCCAAGTTCAACACGCGATGCTAACATACGGTCGGTTCACAGCGGATTTTAGAGAGGAGGTGATTAATGAGAGGTTAAAACAGATGGGACGGCAAAACTCTAATTTAGGGACGAGCCAGTGAGAAGCGTTTGAGCAATTTCAATTATTAGCCAATCAGAAGACAGTATAAAGTAAAAATATATTACAAGAAAGTAATGAATTGCAGTGGATATTCTTCTTTTACATGAGTTAAAAGCTTGTTGAGGTTTGATAAAGGCTCAGAAGTTCTGAATTCATAATGCATATTGTATAGAAACTCGTCCATAGGGTTAGGTTAAGGTTAGGGTTAGATTAGGGTTAAGGTTAGGGTAAGGGTGCTAACATGCGATCGGTTTACATCGGATTTTAGGGAAGAGATGTCTATTGACAGGCTACAACCCTAACCACTAACACTATGGACGAGTTTCTATACAATATGCATTATGAATTGAGAGCGTCTGAACCTTCATCAAACCTTAACAAGTTTTTAAATCATGTAAAAGAAGAATATCCACTGTAATTCATTACTTACAATATATTCTCACTTTATACTAGCTGTCTTCTGATTGGCTAATAATTGTCAAGGTCATTTAAGATTCGTTCAAAGGTCGTCGCTAAATTAGAGTCTCGCCGTTTGCCCTACTATTTATAACCAAAGAGTCTGTAATCAGTTCTGTTGTTAATCTGTCTCCATGCAGTGACAAATCTCGCCACATGTCGTTGTATATAAATACCAGTTTCACCCAACAGTAAGTTCAGCTAACGAAACTGAATTCCAGTGATTGTTCTTACACCCAGTTCATCTTTAACAGTGCTGCACAAATAATACTCACCTTGACTACCGATTTTCACGTCTTCTGTAATCCTTTAAAACTAAAGATGCTGTATACGACGTCAGCAGTCCTAGAAGAGTTATTAAGGGAAATAAGCCAAAGCATTCCTTAGGCTGATACTATACTATCCGACTTAAATGAAATGAACCTAGTATTTCCTAATGAAACAATCCGTTCCCTAATATCGTACTTGATCGGAGTGCCTGTCGTAATAACCGGATTGCTAGCTTGTGGAATGCTACATAAAGAAATCTTTTATGTATAAGGCTAAGCTACCTGTTCTTCTATAACGTATTCTATGTGCACTGTTCGCCCTATCACCCTGATATAAAAATACGCATGAACGATCAATTGAAAATCTAACACTTCAGGAAAACCCCAATCATTAGAAAGGTGGTTTAACGTGCACACTATAAACAAGACCTTCTGATCTAAAGTACCATGTTTAATCTCGAAGAGAAGCACTTAAATCATCTTAAGTAGAGTCAAAGGGACTGCTATGTAACCTAGGACTCAATTAAGGATGGAGTAATATCGAAACTATAATTTATGGATGAAACAATCACATTTAGGATAGAAGATCTTGGATTTTGGGGATAAGATTCACTCATTAATTCGGCTAAATACCTAAAGCGACAGTCAGGTGTCACTGTTCCCTAGTCAAATTATCAGTCACTTGGGTTACTGAATCTTGAATAACTCACCGATCCCCATCAAAGTCAAGGATAACCAACGTGCATCAGTTAATCGCATGCCATGGACTGGCCCATACGGTGATGGTCGCAGACTGTCATGAACCTACTCTTGCTAAGATACTTCTGTTATAACGCCGTTGGTATTGTGTGGTCATCAAGGTAGCCGTAGTGCCTGTATACGCCAAAAGGGTAGTCTATGTTAGCTACCAACAATGAAGTATGACTTTGAGGTTAGCTGGTCGGTCTAACTCGAGTAGGCCCCCGATCGTTCGTCACAGATCATCTACGCTGGTGATCTACATATCATTTTCGAATCATAGACCATGTCATTTCGTGATGAAAACATTAAACCTAACTTCTTACCCTAACGTTCAACTGTAAATCCTAATCCTTATTCCTCACACTAATGTTTAATCCTCATTTAACCTGGCAAGTAAGAGGACATTCCAAAGTCATTTTAGCGTTGCCCAAAGATTGTTCATAATTTATAGTCCTACCTACCTTTGTTATGAGTTTGTACATATCAAATGATGTCTTTGCGCTTGCTTCACTTTTTTTTATTTGTTTCCAGTTATTTGGTGATGTCTGATGGGTTGTAGTATGCCTAATTGACTACACTAATTCCAGTCAATCTGATAGTTATTTGTGTATTTGTATGTCTTGTAATTCTGACGAGTGAGTTTGTCTAAGGTTAATGGAGTTTCTGGATAACAAAACATATTACATTAGAAGGTTTGTTGGTTGAAATATGAAAATTATAAAACGCGAATTCGGATACCAAGAGAATATTAATGTTTCCTGAAATAAATAAATAACTAATTAACGGGTAATCCGGACAATGTGTGATGACCGAATTTCAAGAATAAAAGGCAAAAAGGGGTAACTATGACCAAGATAAAAGTGGTTAATAATAAGTGACAATAACAATAGTAGGTAAGTTATGAGACATGTATCATGAACGGCCGCTCCAAGAGGAAGATATTCACCCATGGGTGAGTACATATTTGTCAAGTCTCCTCTCAGAGATATCCACTGAGGATGCTGTGGTCAGTTCGACTGGAGAGCACTTCAGGAGGGAACATCTATTGAGAATTTCAAATATTATACGATCATTTGTGTTCATCTAGTTCTACATGCCTTACATTGTACTAATTTGAGAATTCTTAGTAAGCACATTAATTCGAAGACTTCTGATGATTATATTGGCATCGCAATGGAACCTGTCATTTTCAAGCTATCGAAGATTACATGGAAACGTTTGAAATCCGAATTGTGACCAGAAAAGTTGTTAGGGATGATAAAAATGTGGCTGTTTTCCTCATATTCATGAAAAAGTATTGCAGGTCATCAAGGTCGATGACCTCTGTCAAATAATAAGGGGCCTTTAGTGACTCACTTTTATCACGAGAACATGATTGGTCTAATTAAAACAATTATTATTATAACCAACTGTACCAGTGCTTGTTTTAATGTGCTTTTGTTTAACTGTACTAATTATAGCCATTGTGTGCTTCCATTACCTCCCATCATTTGTTTCGCGATTTTTGGTACTGTTCGCACGTACTCCTTTCTCCTGTTCCCACTTGTACCATTCCTTGGCACGATCTTGGTATTCGTTCAATACCACGAGATCACCAACGAAATAAATCTGGTTAAGTTCAACCTTCGCCTTCTGATTTACTTGACACGTGTTTCTTGGTAGCACTGTTCATAGTTAATTTCGACTCGACGCCACGCTACAGGCCTATTGAAGTAGGACGGGAATGATGTGACCAACAGCTAACTTTGAAGTCACACCTAGGAAGCCCAAAAGTTTATTCCAAGAAATTAAAACATCATGTAATAACCATGAGGTAATGAATAAGCTGGATTTTCATTCAGTGAAAATTTTTATTACTTTACTTAGCCATCGTGATGAACCACATTCTCAATGTCTCTCAAGCTCGATTTAT